TCGGCGGTCCTGCCGATGCCTGAAACTTACGAAAGACCGGGCTCGAGATTTCGTGCAATACGTAGTCTTCCAACAATGTACGAATTGTTGCAAGAGCATACGTGGTCATCTCGAGCGGGACGAACGTTTCGAAAGGGACCTGATCACGACCGCGAGCGCGAGAGAGCGACTTTAAGAGTCGCGCGATTCGAGGAGTCGAAAATAAAGCCGAAACAAACGGCACAAGTACACCGTTTGAATCAGCAAAATTTCTACTCTCGAAATCGTAACTACAGGAACAGAACTGCCACGCGAAAACGCGCCTACCCGAATTACTAATGTGGACAGTCCTGCCCTGACCCTACCTACTTACGTTTAAACACACACACACCAGAGAATAAGTTACCTACCTACCTAACCCTATATTTAAAAAATTGCAAAACTCAGACTCTCAAACAAACACTCCACGGTTCTCATTCTGAATGTCCGGGCGCGACCTAAACTAGAGAGGACTCCCCGGGGTTCCTCCGACACCCGGACACAACCTCATTCATACTCTAATTGTGTACGTACCAGTTTTTGCAGTGGACTGACAAAGCTAGTGACCATTGCGTACTTTTATTATTTATGTAAAACATTTTAATATATCTAATATAGTCTTTATTAAAATATACTCTATATATGATCATATAAGATTGAAAAGCTAATTCATTATGCATTTTGCAATATTATTGACTAATATGCAATACGAACAATTGCCAAGTAAATAACAACTATAAGTTTAATATTACTATTGTGATTGTTATGAATCCAATGTGAAAAAATTCTGTATCTGAATTGTAATAAACTTTTGAAACGATGCACTTCCACATCCTAACCACAAACACACATATGTGGACAGTACATCGTGCACGATACACTAGCATTGTCAGTCGCACGGATAAATTATTAATATAAATGTTACGAACTAAGTCATCGTGCCCCGTTGCCTTCGCTCGTGCAAATAACACTTGGGCATGTGCACGAACTTAGGCAACGAACACGGAAAAGTATCCTGAAAATCCTGACTAGAACTGATTATTAATAATTAACTAAACGGTATCTATTCTCAGTTAAAATGACTCGACTCGTTATATATAATATATCAACAAGAAAATACGTTAACATTGAAAGATATTATTATTCAAGAAAAAGTGACTGAAATTTAATTGTGTAAAATGTAAGACTTTAATAAAAATTTAATGATAAAATAATTTACTTTGCAAATTGAAATAAATTTGTTAAATTATTATTCAAAATATTCAATTAACCTTGGTCGATTCTGTCGTCAAAGTAAATTTAAAAAAAAATAAAATTAACATGCGTGTTCGTTTGAGTTGAGAATCGACCAGTCGCGAAACGCCTTCTTGCACGTAAAATACATCATATGATGTATTAATTGATAAAACGAATATTTAATAATTATATTGATAATGTAAGATATTTTACTCAATCGTATAATATAATGTTTTCACATTATATTAATTCATATTCTATTCAATTATTTAATTCATATAATAAACATATTTCATATATTGTATCAAAATTGTGTAATAATCATATTGTGCAATATTTATTGATAACATTAAAAACCGCGAGTGCAAGAAGACCCTAGCCTGCACTAAAAAAATACAATTCATGGGTCACTTAACTCGTCAAAAATACTAAGTATACAACTGGTCACCCGTGTTGATTCGGATCTTTCATCCTACAACATGGTTGGGGACCAGAGGAACATAAATAGCATGCGACTTACGAGTGATGAACTTGAACCTCTGGGATGACTGCATGATGATGCTGCTGCTGCCCGGTGGAAGTAATCAGAGCCCCCTGCATGGTCCTGCTATAAAAAATAAGAAAGCAATTATAATCTATTGTTAAAATTATCGAGATTTTTAATTAAAAATTTCAAAGTATAAATTTATACTTACGTTGTTCGATCGTGGTCCACCGCCCGATACCCCCCGGGTACTGCTGCTGGTTCCCAGGATCAAGTTCAGAAACTGTAAGAAAACTGTAAGAAAACAATTAGAATCTATTGGTAAAACTGTAGAGATTTTTAATTAAAAATTTCAAAGTATAAATTTATACTTACATCGATTGCTCGTGGAGCATCGCCAAATAATCCTCTTCGGTGATGCACTGATTCTAATTCCGATAACGAGGAGTTTAAATGTCAAATTGAAAAAATAATTAATTTGATTGGAAAGTGTTAAGTTAGATTACCGCGACCGAAGATTGAAATCGGCGAACAAATGACTCTATTATCGCGATTCAGAAAACAGAGAGCCACGATGCTCTGGAAATAATTTAATACCGCGTAAGAAACACTGCTTCTATTCTCGCGTTTCTCTAACACCGTGAACGATAACGAGCTTGGGGTCACTTTGCCCCGAAAAACAAACTTGTTTGCTACGCACGATCACTGACTCTACCGGCCGCATTGCGCTCGGCCAACAAATTTCCTGGAAAGAAAAGTCCTGAAAAGAAAGGGACAGGAGACAAGAAATACAACAAGCACGTCTGTGCTTTGCCTATCGATGTTTGTTTTTCTTCTTACTAGAGTTCGTCAACGAAAACACTGTTTTACTTAGTACTGCTGTATACATAGTTTGTCCCGTACAAGATCAATGCCACGAAGGCGAAATATTCTCTATCAATGAGAATTTCAACGACAAAATATTAACTACGAAAATAATTATTCAATTTATAAATATATCACCAAGTTTCATAATTAGAGTTGTAAGCATGATTATGTTTAATTTATCGAACGTTAGAATATCCCGTAATTTTTATAAATATTCCGAAATTTGCAAGAATTAAAGTTCGCTAGTTATTTATGCTCGAATAGCATATTCCAACTACGCAGTTACTACATTATTTTAAACTTGCATCGAAATATATATGCAAATTGCAATTACAACAATTCATAAAGAAATATAAACAATCAATTAAATAAATATCACTCGAAAATATTCAGTCGCGATCAGAATACAGTTAAATATAAATTATTTCAATGTATCGTTAATATCTACCGACGCCATTTTTGTATACTTCGATATGTATCGAAGTAGATAGAAAGTTTGTTAACGATTTTAATATTTTATCTTAACAATGACCGACTACAAAATTAAGATCATGCTTGCAACGAGTAACTTAACGAAGCTACAATAAAAATGTATAAATATTAATATGAATGTTAATTTTTGCTATAATTGTTCAAATGTTACCAATATTCCCTCCACAATTTGTCGACTCGTCTGCCATCTGTTATGGCGTCCTTTACGCACCAATAAAATTTCCCATGGTGTCGAATTTCAATCAGAGACTGCAACAGAAATAAAATACAAATTAAATCGTAATTAAACAATGATTGAATATAACGAGGGAATAGCAAAAGGTTAGAAATACATACTTCGTTGGTTACGAAACGTCGACACGTCTTGACAGGTTTCAACAAGTCTTCATAATTTCGAATTCCAATGGGAGACTGTAACAGAAACGAAATAATGATGCATTAAAGTACACGAACGGTTATTATAATTAAGTAATGATTAAATCGAAACCGTATTGCAAGAGATCGTAAGTAGTAATACGCGAGTAGTAATAGTGGAAAGATCAACAGGTTAGAAACACGCACCTCGCTCGCGGAACGCCGATACGTCTCGACGTCAAAGTATGAATGATGGCCGTCCGCTGTGCTCGGTAATGCTCGCGAGTTAGGCGGCGGGGTGGGGGAAACTCCGATATCTCGCGAAGCTTAGACTGATTTCTAGCAAATTATTTACAACTTTAACTAGTCAAGGAATCGCGAATAATTCGTAATTTTCACTGGTATGCATTTACACGCACTAGCTGCTGCCTGTCACACTAATTCAGCGAGTTTCTCAACTGACCGCTATCCATGCGAAGGGACCGCTAAAATCACCTCCGAATTTTCAGGTCGGTATGGCAGTCAGATTGGGCCATGAACGTCCATAAGGTGGAAGCACAGACTAGGTATACTCTTATACTAATTTTCCAGTCATGTACGACGTTACCAATCCAGGGAAGAATAAGAACACAGCGCAAATGGAACAGAGGAATTACAATTAAAAGCAATTATCAATTATTTTAAACATAATTACAATCGGAATCTACGTATGGAATTTAAATTGCGTTTACATCTTTAAATCAATAATAGTTTTGCATTTATAAAAAATGTACATTATGTAAAATTACATCAACAAAAACTGTTGAAGTTTGTTGGTTTTTGGTTCAAATTAAAATCACAGTACGAATAACAAACACTATATATAATTAATAATTAATAATCGTTGTTATAATGACTTTGTATCGACGATCACTCTCTCTCTCTCTGTGTTACTCGCTAGTTTGGCCAGAACTGATAAGTAAAGTCTCTAACAGTACATTAAATAATTTACATGAAAATGATATTATGTATATTGTTTTTAAAAAGTAAAAACTATAATTGTTAGCGTAGTCGGTACTTCAGTTCGTGGGGCATGAACTACAGACAACATAGAATTACAAACGAGATATAAAATGGCAATAGCATAAATGATATAACATTGGTAACTCCTGATCGGTAAAATGTGGCGTTTCCAGTGTCTTTTCAATATTCTGTACTAGGTCGTCGTACTACTTAAATTAAATTTAAATTGTTTACTAAGTCCCATAATATTTAAACTAATAAAAAATATGTACATGTTTTTCAAATACCCATTGATTCTGTTTCTTATTTTTCAATTCATCATAGGTCTCGATACATATTAAAATGTGTGGTTGAAAAGAACTTTACATAATATAAAATATCCATCCGTAAGCTTAGACATTTTCATTCCAAATTTTACAGTGGGTTGCAAAAAACTGCCTATATACAACTTGATAATTAAATTCACTAGAAAATGATTGTTCGTTTCGTCATCTAGTGATGAAATATTCAAACAATTCCTATATAATTTTTAAAAGTTTCAAAACAATAGTATAACCTAGAAATCACGAAGGTATTTAGTCGCTTAACGATAAGCTACAATGTTTATCGTGACGAAAGAAATCGACAGTGAAAATATCAGTAAATTATGCCGTACATGTTTAAGAGAGGATGGCGATAAAATGGTTTGCTTATTCGTGGGACCAGCTGGTTCCTCTCTTGCTGCCAAGTTGCGGTCTCTGTCGTGTCTAGAAGTAATAAATACTTTCATCGAGCTCACAGTTATATAGTTAGCACGATTACAAAACTGATTTTATACGCGTCAAATGCGTATTTCATTAGGTTTGGCAAGGCGATGGTCTACCAGAGAAAATGTGTGACCGCTGTGTAACCAGAGCAGAATCTGCTCTTCTGTACAGGGAACAATGTCGTGCAGCGGATAGAGCACTGAGGCAAGCTGCTTTAAAGGTAATTCCTTTGAATTTTCGTAACATAAACCTTTAAAGTAGAACTTTGAGAATATTAGGCGTTACAATATGCGTTACTTTCATAGGTCTCTGGTCTAACATCGTATGCCACAGTATCCGGATGTAAATTGTATCAACAGAACCAAGGATTTGTTCCACTTCAGAATTCGCATAAAACATTAAAGTGTATAGAATGCGGTGCTGTATTTATGAGCTATCAGGAACTGTGTGCTCACAGCCGATTACATTTACCATACATACAAGACAACATACCTGTGCAACACATGCACATAGTCGAATCTCAGAATCCGTATATTAACTTCAATTTTAGCCACTTAAGCTCTAATCTGACCACAGAAGGTGTTCAAAATACACAATTGTCTCCTTTGATTAGACCAAACATGATGCAAATGATTCCTATAAATGGGGAAAATCCTAGCCGAGCAGCTTGTGCTTTGCACTGTTCTTTGTGCAATCACACATTTACCAATAGGACCCAATTGATGAGTCACAATATCGCCCATAGTACGGAAAACATAGACATATCTTGCGACAATGAAAATATAGATATCTGCGAGAATTCCAATCAGATTCCTCAGAATTTAAGCTACGAAAGATCTATTAATTCTGTCGATAATTCTATTCAAAATTTATCGTATCAGAGATCCACGACAAACGATAACAACGAAATACAGAATTTGAGCTTCTCCGTAAATATAGATCTGGAGGAAGTACAAAGCGGCAGTCCTCAACGTATGCAAAATACGACGATGCATCCCGAAAGCGACATACTCGATGCTCGCGGGTTAAGGTTTACGAAAGATCTCGAGCGTACGGATAGCAGAGAGGAAATCGACAGATATCAGTTGTGTCCACCGAATCTCGATTACAAGGAACAAATCGAAGAAGAAAATCCGGGAAGCGTGCAATCGAAAAAGTACAAGTGCGAGGTATGCTCTAAATTGTTCTCCCAAAGATCGAAATTATTGACGCACCAATTGTCGCATTCCGGCCAACAACCGTTTAAATGCCAGAATTGCGAGAAAGCGTACTCGTCTAAAAGTAAGCTGAACGCTCACATGCGATTGCACACGAAAACCAACGTGCATCGATGCAAAGTCTGCGATAAAATATTCGCGTACCCGTCGTACCTGCGTGAACACATGAAAACCCACAAACGGGATACCAACGACGCGGGAAACGAGGGGAGCAAAAGTTTCGAATGCGTTAACTGTAAAAAAAGATTTCGTTTGCTGAAAAACCTGAAAGCTCACGAAAGACTTCATACCGGGAAAGGATTGGTACAGTGCGAGATATGCGATAAAAGATTCAGCCAAACGTACAACCTAAAAATTCATTTGCGAACGCACAAGGGCACGAGGCTGCACAAGTGCGAATATTGCAACAAATGTTTCGTTCAGAAAGGCAACCTCGTGGAACATTTGAGGATCCACACCAAAGTGAAACCCTTCGAATGTAAAACGTGCGGGAAGCGTTTCTCGCAGTCTAGTCATTTAAAGAATCACGAAGCATCGCACGCGTCTCTCAGGCAACATCAGTGCCGATTGTGTGGGAAGCGGTTCAAATTAGCGAATCATTTAAAGAGACATTTAACTTTGCATACCGGCGCCAAGGCGTACAAGTGCCATCAGTGCGATCAGCTGTTCTCGCAAGCGTTTAGTTTAACGAGGCATTTGAAGAGGCACGAGTCGCATATGTAGTTCTCGTGAGTTTTATATTTATCATTAAAAACACATTTTACAAACATGGCTTTCTATTACTGTTCCTTTTCTTTCATCATTATTTGTACTTAACGCAGCTGCGATACAAGCGAATGCTTCGTACAACGAGATACAGTCGGTACATCATTTGTAACTCATGAGGACAGTGGTTATTATGTTCAGCCCTTCTCTAAGTTGCTCTTCCGTAATAGTAAGTGGTGGGGATATCCTCAATATTTGCCCGTGGGCTGGTCTGGTCAACAAACCCGCTTCTTTCAACTTCAAACAGATATCCCAGCCTTCGGCAAAATCTGAAAGAAAAATGGCAGATTAGAATATGAAACAGGACATTCGCACAGTGTCTCGTATCTTCGAACGAGTTTCTATAAATACCTTTGTTGATCACTAAACCACTCAACAAACCGCGGCCGCGGAATTCCGTCACTATGTCCTTTGGCAATTTTTGTAATTCCTGTCGTAGAACCTCTCCGAGCTTTCTTGCATTTTCTGCGAGATTCTCTTCTTCTAAAACTTTCACCGCCTCTAAGGCGATTCTAATACCGAGCGGATTCCCGCCGAAAGTGCTGCCGTGCGTGCCAGCCTCCAAGCAGGATATTATCTGACGAGAACGTTAGTTTCCTTTAGTCGAAAGAAACACGATATCTTTTAACACAATTTCTTTTTTCAGGTACCACGAATAAACGATCGAAAGACTATTGTTTTTGGCCGACGAGCAGGAAAATAGTTAGCGCGTGGCGAGTCACCTTCTCGTCCGTTAAAATTCCGGATACGGGATAAAGTCCTCCGGACAATGCCTTCCCCAGAATGAGAATGTCCGGCCTTTGATTCTCGTAGTCGACTGCCAATCGTTTCCCCGTTCTGCACAAACCAGTTTGAACCTCGTCGGCGATCCATAAAACGTTGTACTTGGTGCACAGATCCCGTACGCCTTTCAGGTAACCGTCCTGCAAAAAGTTTTTCACTCGCAAACAAATTGTCCATAAAGAGGATCCATCTAAGATGGTTAAGAAATTCGTAGGCTTTCACGGTGGATTAATAAGTACAGAGGGCAATATATGGTTACATTTTGATTCCAATCTGTTGGCTGAACACGTCGATAAGTCTTATCCAACGCCTCATGGCCCTAAACGTGACGTTGTTAATCGTTCAAGCGGTTCAAGTTCAAATTAATTATATGTTAGTAAAGTACAGAGTAAGCGGAAACTGTTGAAGGAACGAACAACGTCACGTTTAAGGAATAATTTACTAGATAAGCCTCACTGATTAAGTTTATCTGTTGAACTAGCGGACCTGTGATGAAACTTAGCAATGTTGTACTTTGTGTGCAAGAAAAGGGTGAAAAGTAAGTAACTCTGACCTGTATTGCAAGGCTCTCGGCAATTTAACTTACGCTGGGCACCACGACTCCGGCTTCCCCTTGAATCGGCTCAACCATGAACGCGCAAACGGTCGGGTCCTCCTTAAACTTTTGCTCCAAGGCTTTGAGATCGTTGTACGGCACCCTGTCGAAACGGGGCACGTATGGGCCGAAATCGGTGAAACATTTCGGGTCCGTGGAGGCCGACAACGCAGCGATGGAACGGCCCCAAAAGTTGCCTTTCGCGAAAACGACGGTCGCTTGTTCGTTGGGCAGTTTCTTGACTTTGTATCCCCAACGTCTTGCTACCTTGACGGCGGTGTCGCACGCCTCTACGCCTGCAACAACGTATAGGAGACTCGATCGTAAACGTTTGCTCTTCTCTTCCTCAGCGAGCCACGTGTCGAATACATTTTCCTCTGTTTACGTACCGGTGTTCATCGGTAGGAATTTCTCCCATCCCAACAGATTGGTCAGATACTCTCCCAATTCGCCGTGTTGTTCCGAGTAAAATGCTCTGGAGATGTGCGTGAGCATCCCCGCTTGGTCTCTCATTACTTTTACCAAACGTGGGTGACAGTGACCCTGATTAACGGTTGAAAAACCTGCCAGAAAGTCAAGATAACGTTTCCCGTCAACGTCCCACAAACAAACACCCTCGCCTTTCACGAGAACCACCGGAAGAGGCTCGAAATGTTTGCTGCCGTACTTTTTGTCGCGGGCCATCAGCTCCTGCGAGCTCAGAAATCTCTTCAACGAGCCCAGCTCCCTCGTCGAACCGAAGATTCTCGACCTGGCCGGTTGCATGTTAACAGTCTACGATAAACGCTAACGATCCCTGAAACGGTCAACAGTGGCTAGAACGAACGACGAAGATCGCGGTTTCCTTGATAAGGGACAAAGGGCAGTGTCGCACGCCTGATGCGATAAAACAAACTGTGGGTAATTTCCCAGTAAATCTTTCCTTTATATCGACGCGCGAAGGAGTAGGGGAGTTGTATTACGTATTTACATGGAATATTTTTGTATACAATTGATACGACGAGAGGATTTAGAATAAATACTGCGGTGAAATCCGTCAAGTCGTATCTGATAATAAAGTGTTGGGAAACGTCGTTTATTGCGGCGCCAACGTGCTAAGGCAAACAGAAAAACAACGAACAACAGACTAATCCGATACGATGTACACGGAGGAATGCAACGAACGGAAACATGTTTTTCTTTCAGTTTTCCTTTTTTTTTTTTTGTTTCTTTTTGTTTCTTTTTCGTAACATTTTTAGTACTGAATCGTACGCGCGATAACTGGAACGGGAAAAATATTCATTGTCGTACGAACAGGCGCGTCGCGAACAAGGAATAAATTCACGATAATATCATTGTTAATAACAAGACCGGAATGTATTATAGAGATCACGACGAAGATAAAAATTATCCGATAAAAAATATGGTTCCGTTCCTTATCGTTTATCGACCGTTCTTGCAGCTATCTTACAGTTAATATCCGATAACATGGGGATCGATTATGCGTCGCGCCATTGTTCGATTTGTAATTCTTGCCGCTTGTATGATAGGCGCACATTACCGTGTCCCAGAACAAATTGATTCGCGATTGGAAGTCGCGAGTGTACGTCTCGTCAAACACGATAACATTGTATTTGACTCAATGTCTGATGTCTGTTAAACGATGAAACAAACACTGATCGAATAATAGAGGATAGGACCGTATCGCGTTGGGCTATTAATAGCCGACGTTCAACCGATTGGTCAATTTTTCTCCCTCTGCAGTGTTAAGAAGATAACGGCTTCGACGAATGCAACCGAACGGTGTCTCCGCGCTCTATACCTATTTATTTATTTATTTATTTACGGAAACCGATGCCCCGTTGTATAAAAGATCAAACAAGATTAACGTAATCATAAAAATATGTATAGATTAACAAGCATCTGAGAATAATATACAGTATCACAGAATAACAAGATTATCGATTAGCTTAGTGCGGGCGAAGAGATCGATAAAATCGTAAAAAATATTTACAAAGTTACATATTTTTACATGATTTTAATCTACGACACGCGTTCAAGTTGATTAACTGAAATAATTTCCGTTAACATATGGTTAAATTGATCGATCGAGCGATAGAGCTAAAAAATAAAAAAGCTTGGAATAAAATTTCAACGATATCTGCTTGCTCCGTTGGTTTATAAACAACACGGGAATACGCAAATGTTATCTCGTAGAAACGAAACCGTGCAATGATCTTCTGCCGTCGTATACAATAATTTCCAAGAACGAAGGAACGCAAGAAAGCGCTTATTTATCGAAAATGAAAGTTTATTTACAAGATCTTTTGTAAATTACAAAAACTGAAGAGTCAGCTTAAAGACGAGTTTCCTTAAACGTTGGCGCATTGGATGATAGTTTTAGAAATTATATCAACGCATTCTCGCATTTGCGATTCGTTGATGACCAACGGTGGAGCCAGTCTGATTATATGTCCGTGCGTCGGTTTCGCGAGCAAGCCTGCGTCCTTCATCTTCACGCAGATGTCCATGGCGTCGATTTTCTCGTTGATCACGATAGCGTTAAGAAGTCCCTTTCCTCTGATCAGAGTGACAATGTCCTTCGGCAGCTTTCCAAGTTCGGCCCTGAGAATCCGACCGAGCTTATCAGCGTTCTCCGCCAGCTTTTCTTCCTCCAACACGCGAAGCGCCTCGATGGCGATCGTGCATCCCAACGGATTGCCGCCGTACGTCGAACCGTGTTCGCCAGGTTTGATGGTCAGCATTATGTGATCGTTAGCTAATATACCGGAGACCGGATAAAAACCGCCGGAAAGAGCTTTACCAAGAATCAAAATGTCTGGTTTCACGTTCTCGTGGTCCACGGCCAACCGTTTTCCCGTCCTGGCCAAGCCAGTTTGCACTTCGTCTGCTATCCATAGAACGTTGTTTTTCGTACACAGTTCCCTGACTCCTTTCAAGTACCCATCCTTGAACGATTTCGAAGATTAAAGATTATCGCGATCGGATGACTCAACAAAAATTATACCTATATTGCCATACCTTTGGTACTACAACGCCAGCCTCGCCTTGTATAGGCTCTACCATAAAAGCGCAGACGTTCGGGTCGGTCAAGGCTCGTTGCAGCGCCTCCAGATCGTCGTACGGGATTATTTCGAACCCGGGCATGAACGGCCCAAAACCTTTGTAACTGGTCGGGTCTGTGCTCGAGGACACGGCGCTCATCGTCCTCCCCCAGAAATTACCTTCAGCGAAAATGATCTTCGCCTGATTGTCCGGTATACCTTTGCACGTGTAACCCCATCTGCGCGCCAATTTGCACGCGATTTCGCCACCTTCCACTCCAGTGTTCATCGGCAGCCATTTCTGATATCTGGACAATTGATTACAACGTACTCGTATCAAGTAGGTTAAAAATAATTTGTCCGTATATTTGGATAATTCTGTCGATTACGATATAACCGTATCAAGTGGTCGAGAAACCAAGTTACATACCCGAAGAGTTTCGTAACGTATTCCTCGAATTTGCCCAACGTGTCGGAATAAAAGGCTCTCGAGGTTAAGGTTAAAACCTTCGCCTGTTCGACCAGAACCTTGTAGATCCTTGGATGACAATGGCCTTGGTTCACGGCGGAATAAGCGCTCAGGAAATCAAAGTACCGTTTTCCCTCGACGTCCCACATAAATACACCCTCGGCTTTGCATAACGCAACGGGAAGGGGGTGATAATTATGGGCGCCATACTTCGATTCTCGTTCGAACACTTCTTGCGACGTGATCGTACGACAGTTCTTCTCGTTCTGTAATGTTACTTTCGTAAAGTTACTATACTACTTTCCCGCGAGCTACTTTCACGTCTACCGCCAGGGGTCGGAGTTAGAGTCACCGGTACCCTGATGCGACTTCCAATTTACCGAGTCTTACTTTGATTTAACAAACATACTGGAAAAGTCTTTTCAATAGGTTAAAAAATATTTCTTTTACTTCCATGCAAATCCGACACTGGCTGCAGCTTTCTTACCTGACAGAACAGATTCAAAAGTTTTCCTTTAGAAATTCCTCCTGCCTTACGAAACATGATTCGTGTCAAAGGTTCCATTGGTGTCGAAAATAATTCTTCACGGTTTATCTATAAAATAAAAATGTAACGTATCATTTTGGTGAAGTGAAAATTGTGTTATCTGCGAACGCTAAACAATATATGTAGTGCCGTCTCGAAAGGTGCATAACTCTTGTTAAAATTCGGTGAAAAAAAAACATTATCAGCGAGAGTATTAGTGTTTATCGGGGAGGTGGGGACAAAAAAAATCGTTATCACTACAGCAAAACAATATATCGACGACGACTCTGGTTCGTTCGAATTACATATTATACGTCGTTACTTCCGTAGATCGTCAGCCAGTGAGCTTATATTGTATTAACTGTTTAACGAATCGTATTATTTATTTCGAATTGTATTATTCGAGAGTGTATTCGCGAATGTACGTATTACCGGCCGGAGTCAAATAAATTCGAAGGAATACGGAAGACTGAATGTTTCAACACGCGTTTGGTCTTGTCACACCTCAATCCTCGTCGGAGCTTACAATCACATTATACGTTGCCCGTATCGAAGATAAGCAGAACGATATCGACAGTGTGCCGAAATCGTTTCGGTACTGGACTTTCGAAAACGTTGACCAAATTTATTCGAAAGTAAACACGATAAGAAAATTGTCTCGTTTACGGATTATCACTACGTTTTTGAATTGTATCAATTCTCGTTTAAAACAATTATAAATTATTTTTTTATCGTTCGTATTAGAAATAAACACGGTAACTTTTATGGACTAATAAATAAATGAAGATGCTTACCTACCAGAAATCTTTGTGGGCACTCTTATCGACAAAATCAAGAATGATAAGGTACCGCTGGCGGTAGCTTATCTATGAGTGCAGAATCACATTTTACTGGTTCAAAGTACGAAATACGTCACACACTTGTTTGTTAATAATAACAACGAGGAATGAATATTTTTCCTATGCACAAACATAGATAAGAAGTTGTTGAAAGTTGTAAAAATTTGACAAAATGCTGGGACGAAGCATCCTCTTAAAATATAATTTCAGATCGTGTCCTTGCTATATGTATCTATAGTCGGTGCCCTTCGCAGTAACGAACCCTTCGACAAAAGAAATTTCAAATGTCTAAGAGCCCTTTCACATAACATACAGGGTGTTCGACTAACCCTGGGAAAAATTTTAATGGGGGGATTCTAGAGGCCAAAATAAGTGATAAATTTTTATTTAAATAATTAAATAAATTATTTAAATAAATATAATTTAATTAATAATAATTAAAATTCCGCCCGTATTGAATTTTTTTCTCGAAAATGCGTAGAATTTCGGAGGTATGTCTATTCACCAAAAATGATTGTAATTGACCCCCGCAACCGAAAATAATTTTTCCAGAACGATTTGAAATTTTTGAATTTAATTGTTAATAACTTTTTAACGAAGCCTCCATCAACAAATTATTTTGGCCTCTAAAATCCTCCATTAAAATTTTTCCCTGTATTTATATTTCTTAAAAACTAAGAATTTATAGATCTTCGTTTTTTAGTACTTTTCAGAAATTAATTTTAGAAAAATATTAATGAATGTTAAATTATATCTGAAATGGTAATTATTTAATAATTATTCCAACTGTATTAGTTGGCTCTCCGAGTTCGAACGGCCCTGAACGTGCCGTGATTGGTCAGTGTTTTTCGTTAATAATTAAAAAACGAAGCCCCAACCGCCCTTTTTGCAAAGGAAATTGTTGTTCAGAATCGTCTCAGTTACCCCACATTTCCGTGGGGTAACTTTTTTTCGTCTCTTACAATAATTAGTTTATTAGTAAAGTATGAACATTTGTGTAATAGTATAAAGTAATAAAGTAACTAAAGAAGCGAGTTTCGTTCGTTTAGGGCGTTAGAGTGATAAAGATTGACTCTGTTTTCTTTCCCGAAATATTGTACTACAATCGAAGCCGCCGAAATCTCGAGCAAAATTTATGTACTCGTAAAATAGAGAATTGTGTTGTTGCAAGTTGCTCTTGTACTTGGAACAAACGACTTATAATGACACAATATTGTAATCGAAACTCAGATTTGTTATTGACATATCCCTACTATTCACGTACCGGTTCCGACACAAGCAGGTATACATGAGGGTACAATGTAAGTACACGTATTAGTAGTAGTTGGAAAGTTCTGTTCTAGCTGGAAAAAAGTTAAGATTTAGACTTTAAAAAATCCATAAAATTTATTATTTAAAACTACATTTAATTTAAAAACATTTTCAATAAAATTGCTGAATGTACACATTTTACCCGCCAAATTTACCGTTCGACGCGCCATGATGTTACACATTGTTCGGTGGTAGAATTCAAATAAACGTCTCCAGTCATTCACGTGTAATGTTTCTTCTGATCTATCTTTAAAAAGTTTGTGTAACGACGAATATTTAATATGAGCGAAGATAATTACGACGACATTCGAAAAAGAAATATAGCCGAAAGGGACGCTATTGTAAGTATTCCTTTGATATTTTTAACCTATAATAGTATCATTAAATTTATTCACCTTTAACGTTACAGTTAGCCGAAATATTTAAAGATTTTAAGGAGCAGAAAAATGAAACAAAACAGGTAACAAAAGAATATAAAGACACAGATAATTTGGAAAATCAACCACCGAGGAAGAGACGTAAAACTGTTTCCGGTACTGTTAATGATGATAATTTTAAAATTAATGTACGTCTTGGATTTCGTAAAAAATACAACACTAGAAGCAGAGCAAAAAATTTAGGCAAAAATATTTCAAGTACATCGAGAAATGACGGAGAGGAAAACGAGGAAAACGAGGAAAACGAGGAGAATGAAGGTTTAGAGGAACCTAGGGGTAATAGACGTAAATTACATGTTTTATTCTCTTGGGCAAAACCGTTTCAACGCTCGATCGATCTAATGAAAATGGGAGTCTGCGATGTAGACCAGGAAGATGAAGATTATGATGATGACGATGACGACGATGATGATAATGATTTTTACAATTACCCAAACAAGAAAAGAGTTTACAAAGTAACCAGATCTCCATACGATCCAAACAGTATTCCATCCATCGATGAAATTACAGAAGACATGCTAAATAATATAGCAGAGAAAAGTTCTTCGAAAGATTATAGTAGCGTTAATGGAACTAGTTGTCATCAGTGCAGACAGAAAACTTTAGATACAAAAACAGTGTGTCGATCGGGAGAGTGCATCGGTGTTAGGGGTCAATTTTGTGGACCGTGTTTAAAAGGAAGATATGGCGAAAGCGCTGTTAAAGCATTAAAAGACCCTGTATGTATTTTGCTTACATTATTATTGTATTTTCGTTCACTTGTTTTCATTTTTTCTCCTCTGACCATTAAAAATTTACAGAATTGGGCTTGTCCGCCGTGCCGTGGTCTGTGTAACTGCAGCATATGTAGAACAAGAAGCGGTTTACGTCCCACAGGTATTTTAGCTCCTGTGGCACATGGGGAAGGATATTCATCCGTTATGGACTATCTCAAGTCCACTGAAATTGATGACACGTGATTCCAATCATTCAAAATAATTTAACTATCGTAACGATTAAATATCAACGAATTTATTTTTGCTATCAAATATACTGTTTAAAGTAATTATACTGTGTATGAAACGAACTTTTTTCATCTTCTCCTTCCTTAATACTTTTACATTATTTTATTGCGATAATACCGTAATGCCTTGGTGACAAAACGGGATCGAATAAACGCAAAATAGCAACTTTGGAACATTGATTACTCTTTTGTAAAAATATTATTCTATCCAACATAATGGCTGCTTCCAACACAAGGCCCATATGTACCCTTAACATTTGGAATGTACAAAATCGTTTTGTTAAATGTACGTAGAATTGATATGTATTTTCTAATTTCTCCAAGGATGGTATCTAAAGAGGCAAACAGTTTCTTCTATAACATCGTTTTAAATAGATAAATATGTATACTCATAATATTATTACTGTTATACCTTTCCCGATTCTACGCCAATTCTTGAGAATGCCCATTGAGCGTAACTGACAAAATCGTGCGAAGGACCCCTGCGACCTACTCTAGCATTGTAAATACCTATTAAACAAAACAAAAAGTACTGTAACAAATGCAAACAAAATTAAATCAGTTTAAAGAAGATTATACCTATAGAGTGAAGGATCACTTGTAAAACTGCCCTGTAGAATAGCGAGGAAGACACGAATTTGTTTTCTGTGCTTCTCTCAATGGATTGCTGGGCTAACATTCTAGCATTTTTGGAAAAATTTATTCTTTTGTTGAAAGTTTCGTTCGTTAAATGATAACAACAAGGCACAATGCACAAAAGATGAATATCATCCGTAGCTAAGAATGTTTCGATAATCGAATGAGTAAGGGAACCACAAGTATGTAAACCTGTTAATACAAGATTCCTATCTAAATTCCAATCACAAAAATTTTCTTTTACCATTCTTGCATAATCTGTTTTTTCATTTATTTCTTCGACTACGTATCGAACCTAAAACGAAGTACATTTCACCTATATTACGCACATTCAAATGTTACAGTTATGTAAAAATGTATATACTGTATATCAAGGTATCGTTAGTACCAAACTTTGAGAATATTTCATTTTCTTCTTTAATTTTTTTTGCCTACAAATTGCTCCCTTCCAACACGATTGGGAACAGTCTATAGCAAGGACAGGAACTTTATGATTCTCGGCTAAAAACGTTGATAAGTATGCTTTACCGGCGCCGGCGTCTATTACGAGGCTACCGGTCGACGTTGCTACTGTACCAATAATGTTTCCAAGGGATTCAACTTCGTGCGACTTCTTAGCATTCATAAATTCTGTTTTTGTACTTTTGCATTTACATTTATTTATATTCTTAATATTTGGTAGTATGTCTGCTAGATCATTTGGAGTTATTTCTACAGAACATGATTGCAAAGAAAGACGCTTTGCTGACTTCATAAAATTATTAAGAGCGGGGTGGCTCTCATTTTCTGTCCAGCAAGTGCAATCTATTTTATCTTTTTCCAGTTCTGATCTTAACGCATCCGGTAAGCATGTTTCCCATAAATTCTCAGTGATAAAATCAACTATATGGCAATTTATTAATTTGTGATAGGTATTTATAAAACTTAAAACATTGTCAAAGTGTTTGACATACATAACTATAATCTGCGTGGTATTAAATATAATACCATATTATCGAGGATAAATTGTTTTCAAGGAACAGTAGCCTTAACGCAATTATCAAAAATAAAAAATATTACAAGGTTCGAATAGTAACATTATCTTTTTCTTTTATATTTATACGAACATGGGTATTTTTGTTTAATTAAAAATCAAGTTTGTCCATTTCTGGATACAATGAAGACATTTTTGTTAACGAGCAAAATTTGGCATATTTAAATTTGATATCATCCATGATTTTTAAAATGTCCACGGTATCTTTGTTGCATCTAGGAAAATTATAAATATCTTGTAGAAGCTCTTTTGCAATAGTTACAGCTTTCTCTGAATTGGACTTGTTTGTACTCAAATATTGTTCCAAGACACCACTGTAATATCCTAACTGTGCACCTAATAAACTGGCTCTATGATACCCAAGATGAAATCCCTTTATTAATTGTTTCTTTCCAGTTTCATAACCTTCTTTGTAACCTAAGTTGTGAGCATTCTCTTCGGCAAACAATAAATTTTCAAATTCTTTATTTATATCGACATCTTCCTTATCAGACATACTTATTGTTCCTGAAAATACATAAAATATAATTAGAATAATAGGGGAAAAGATCTTTTTATGTACTATCTTCATAAAAACTACCTGTAACATGGTAAAATATTAAATTGCCCCTTAACTGTACTTAATGAGCTTTCGTTCACAATGTTTTACATTATATACATACTCAATGAAAGTCAAATAATTTAACTTGATATACGAGTTCGTCTATATTAGGTTATAATCAAAGTTCAGAACTTAAATACCACCAAATATTGGAAAACATTGATCCGCCATGTTGAAAATCGCGCAAGACCATGTTTACCAATCGTCAGAGTCATTTCCTCTTAGAATAAGTATTTTCAATTAAGGTTATAAGTAGCTACGAAAATAGAAAACGTTCTCTTATCTGTTTATTCGTGAACATTTGTTTGTAGGTAGCGAAGAATTTTGTCGGCTCGTTAACAAAAAGTTTCTAAACTTGCGCCGAGAAATGCATTCATAGACGTGATGTAGTTCTGACCAACTTCAGAGGCGTGTCATGTTTACAATAAACGCGGCGTTCTTTCTTGTAGCGTACTCGACGATTTTTTAAGTCCAGATTCCATAAAAGATGCTCGCGTTAGGACCTAAAAAGGACGGTGGACCCAATACGAAATTTTTCGAGTCCCAGGAAATTCTTACACAGCTCGATGGAGTAAAACAGTGGCTATTGAAAAACTGCAAGAAGGTAGGTCCAAAGACCCGGCACCAAACCTTCGCGAATAACTCACCGATAATTTATGTACTCGATCGAAACCTTTTAATACCATTTCAATCGTGCTTTTAATGATTTCGTTATAGATTCAATTTGTTATCGCATAGATAATTATACTTTCGAGCTGATACGAATAATAAGAACCATTTTCAGTATCAACAGATTGAATAACTTGCATCTATCTCTGCTCTGTTTACATATTCGATGTGTACGTGAACATTAATATAATTATAATTCGTTAACGTGAGATCTGAACTTTTTATTTTGCACATTGTTTATAATGTAAGTGAATGTGTTCAACAATCGATACAATATAGTAATATTATACTTTATACATTAATGTATATATACAATACAGTTGTAAGTAAATATATATACTATTTAGTACTTGACAGCGATTGCCAATAAATATTTTATTTGTATTGTTTTATAGTATGTACAAACGGACCCTCCCACCAATAAAAGTTTAGCTACTTTGATAGTACAATTATTACAATTTCAAGAAGATAATTTAGGAAAAAATGTTTCAAAGCCACCGATGACAAGGCTTCCAGTATGTATTCATCGATCGATATTATTAAATCTTTTAATGTTGCATTATTTTTAAACAAAAAGTATACAATTTATGGAATTTCTAGGTGAAGTGTTTCTTGGATTTTAAACCAGGAGGTGGATTATGTCATATTCTTGCTACAGCATATCGTTTTAAGCAAGAACAAGGATGGCGTAGGTTTGATTTTCCAGTCGGGAAGGTAGGTATTGAAACTCGTGTTAGAGTATAAGAGCAATTTTGGTACAATATGCAAATCATTGTTCTTTTAGTCAGGATCCCGTATGGATCGGACTGTGGAAATGTTGATGGCAGCTGAGCGTGCTTTAGTGCAGAATAGGTGTCTGACCATACCAAGTATATACGTAAGAGCCGACGTAGACAAGTCAACAGCTGCCAAAGTAAAAGAAGCAATACGAAGACATCAGGGCACTATTGCCGAAAATGAAGCGGATGCTACGCACATAATTTACCCTCCGGCAGATCCTATGGAAGAAGAGTACGCTCGGCCTTGTATGAGGCGCGAGAGATCCGTTCTTCTCCATTGGTACTATTTTCCGGACAGCTATGATTCTTGGACTACTTTAGATCTTCCTTGGGATTTCCCAGAAGGTACACTTACTACCGCAAACATGAAATCAATATACAAAGTATCTGCGACATGGGCATTAGATTTAGATCAGTACAATGAGTGGATGAACGAGGAAGACTATGAGATAGATGAAAGTGGTCAAAAGAAAATACACAAGTTTCGACTTTCGGTAGAAGATTTAATGGCTCAACCGTCTCATCCGCCACCCTCTGCAAAGAAACCAAAACGAAAACGATCCCCGAGCCCACCACCGAAACAGGGAAAACGTAAAAGCGGAAGGGGGCCATCGGGTGTTCAAAGTGCTTCGTCTACGTCATCGTTGACGACTCCAAAAAAATCACGCGGTGGCGGTGAAGAAGAAGACGATCTTACTCAAGGAATGGAAGACCCACCAGCGGAACCTCGGATTGTCGAAGTAGTTGCTACTCCTACAAACCCACCGGTTACAGGTCAAGGTACCACTCCAACGAGTGGTACCACTTTGACAACGACAGGAAGTAAAAAACAAGATAACGAACTTCAGCCATTGAAATCTGGTAACATGGCAGACTTGGACGAACCGATGGAAGGTGACAAAGGTAGCTCTCAAGGGACTCAAGATAGAGAGGAACGCGACGTTAGTAAAGAAAGAGGAGAAGGTAACAAAGGGGACGAACCAGAAGATAATGTTACAGAGCAAACGCATCATATCGTTGTCCCCAGTTATTCCGCCTGGTTCGATTACAATTCGATCCATACTATTGAAAAGAGAGCTTTATCAGAGTTTTTTAATGGCAAAAACAAATCCAAAACGCCAGAAATTTATCTCGCGTACAGAAACTTTATGATCGATACTTATAGATTAAATCCCACGGAATATATTACATCAACGGCCTGCAGACGTAATTTGGCAGGTGATGTGTGCGCGATCATGCGCGTGCATGCATTTTTGGAACAATGGGGACTAATTAATTACCAGGTAGATGCAGAATCGAGACCCACGCCTATGGGGCCTCCTCCGACATCGCATTTTCATGTATTATCAGATACTCCGTCTGGTTTGGCCCCGGTTAATCCAAATCCGCCGAAAACGCCGCAGCCATCGGCTGCAAAAGCTTTGCTCGATTTGGAGAAAAAATCGAACATAACGAGTGGAATTGGAGTGGAGGAAAAGGCTTCGGCGGGAGCGATGGCAAACTTTGGATTGAAAATAGATCAATATTCAAGAAAACCGGCGGTATTGAAGAACAAACAAGCTGCTGGCGCTACTCGCGATTGGACGGAACAAGAGACACTTTTACTGTTAGAAGGATTAGAATTGCACAAAGATGACTGGAACAAAGTTTGCGAACACGTTGGCTCGAGAACGCAAGACGAATGTATTTTGCACTTTTTACGGCTTCCAATAGAGGACCCATATTTAGAAGAAGGAGGGCCAGAGGGTCTGGGTCCATTGGCTTATCAACCGGTACCCTTTTCGAAAGCTGGCAATCCTGTCATGAGTACAGTTGCATTTTTGGCCTCGGTTGTTGATCCCAGAGTTGCGGCAAGTGCCGCCAAAGCTGCTATGGAAGAATTCGCAGCCATCAAGGACCAAGTACCGGCTACTTTGCTAGACCAACATTTGAGAAACGTTCAAGCCAGCGCTAATTCCGATGGTAATTGATCTTTCTATTCTCTTACCGTTCACACGGTATGCACTTTGAACGATTTTCTCTTACAATTATTTTGTTTTGTTCAGGCAAGTTTGATCCAGCTGCAGGATTAGCGCAATCTGGTATAGCTGGTACAGGTCCGCCCGAACCTCCAGACGACACAGCAACGCCTTCGACGACTGGAAGTGTTCCAACAACGGCGGCTACGTCACCGCATTCGGCTACATCGACCCCCATGGAAACGAAGAAAGAGGAGCAAGATAATAAACCTAAGGAATCCGAAGTTGACCAAACTCAGTTAGATATTACAAAGAAGGAAGATGAAATGAAAGAGGCAGAAGAGGATACGAAAGCTGCTGTGGACGCTGAAGCTATAGAAGCGAAAGAAAAGAAGGACAAGGTAAATTCTTCTTTCGTTATCGCTTCTTTCCAAACGTTATCGTATTTTAATGTTCTTGTACTAAATTAGGTGGTGCGTGACGCTCAACTCCAGTCCGCAGCTGCTGCGGCATTAGCAGCGGCCGCCGTTAAGGCAAAACACTTGGCAGCCGTAGAGGAACGTAAAATTAAGTCCTTGGTGGCGCTACTCGTTGAAACGCAAATGAAAAAGCTGGAAATTAAATTACGTCATTTCGAAGAATTGGAGACTACTATGGAACGGGAACGCGAAGGTTTGGAGTACCAAAGACAGCAGTTGATCACCGAAAGGCAACAGTTTCATTTGGAACAATTGAAGGCCGCGGAGTTTAGAGCGAGGCAACAAGCACACCAGCGTCTAGCCCAGGAACAACAGCAACAACAACAAAATCAGCATCCGCCTTGGCAACCAACCGCACAACAACAGCAGCAACAGCAACAGCCACCAAGTCCGCAAGCACAGGCCCAACAACCACCGCCGCATACGCCACCGCAACAGGCATAACTCTTTTGTGACTTACTTTTAAATTATAATTATCGATCATGATAGTGCAATGTGCTATTGTGACAAGGAAAGACACGAACGTAGAATGAAAAAAAAAAATATAAATTAAATTTGTAATACTGAATATATTATTTCTGCGATACAGAGTAATGTTCAATGTTCTTAACGTTAATGCATTATTTCGATCTACTACGACGTATGTAATTCGAGAATTTAACGACACCGTTACTAAACGCAATGAATTACAAAAACATTCGTGTGGAGATACTTCTGGGGGAAAAGAAAGAATTCACGCATCATTTTTTGTTTTTTTTTTAAACGAAGTCTACGATTCTTTGTGTATATTTGTATGCATAAGATTATACAACGTTGCCACTGATTTATTTCGTTGAATTATAAGAAACGTACATTCCAATTAGCCGTAAAGATACCTTAACGTTTCAATTATAAGGCATGATTGTGCACGAGTTCCAAAACTAAGTCTGTCATGAGTCGCGCGCACTCCGCTCCTCCGCGCGGTGGTGCTCGCATACTTTGCTTCTCTTTGCACGTTTCCGATCTTTCGTACATATCCGGTGCTTCCTCACTCTCGCACGTGCTAATCGGCAAGATGTCCAGTGCAATACCTACTCCGAATCGTCCGCAACGTCGCATCTCCTCGTTTAATCTGTACATTAACAAGAGGTAACCACGTTTGAAACATTACCGTTCTAGGCGTATCGTACAGTTCTCCACTTTCTCTTTACGTACGAATTCGCACTCCATTACTTACAGTTCCCACATAACAGACGGATCTTTCGGCGGTTGTTCTGGATTAAGTGTGTGCAACGAAGACATCAGATGGAAATGATAATGCTGAAGAAGCTGCGTCATGTGAGCCCGTCTGATCTCCCCGGTCGTGCAACAGTACAAAAAATTTGCAAGGTCGAGGGCAAGCGAACCAACACGGGATAGTTGAAAATCGAGTAAACAGACGCTCTGAAATGTAACGTTAAACGGGATCATTTACGGAAATGTTCGAACAGGTATTAGAATTCAAATTCTTGTTACGCTCGATTCCCGGGAAGGAAGAAATAAAATAAATATTTTCACATTACGCTTGTCCCTTTTTCCTCTGTATCGAGAAAGTAATATTCGTATATTAAACAAAATTTATCAAATTTTCTCGGCTACCTTAATAACGAAGGATATAATCCAAGTTACGTAACGAAGAGAATGTTTTAAAAATCAGATGAAATTACAATGTGATTGAACTTATGTAATGTTCTTTTTCTTATGAAATGACTATACAGAGTGCAAGAACTTTTGCTTTACTATTAAAATAATACTTTCCTGATGAAATTAGTGATAAAAAAAAAAGAAGAAAAAAAAAAGAAACACGTGAATCGTAATATAAGAATCTTATAAATTTATATAATAAAAATTGTAATGAAACAACTGATCTCTCAATTGAATATTTTCTCTGGATTCCTAGTACAATTGTGAAACGTGGTCCATGATATAAAGGGCGATCTGAAAAGACGTGATCCGATTCGGTAGAATAAATGTTAAGCGTAGTACTTGCCTCTTCGTTCGGTTCGGCATCATCTTTAAACAGAATATTGTTGGTCCAGCAATCGCCGTGGCAAAAAACAGTAAGAGGTCCTCGCGCAGCTGCCAGTTCGCTCATGGTGCGAAAAAATACATCGTCGTTCAGAAACGCTTGCAGTTTCTCCATGACCTCTGTTCTTTTGTACTCCATGTGGGTAGGGAGGCTCTCGGATACCATTTTAATAGCGTTCTTAGCAGCTTCTTGATAATACTGACGATACCAGTCTTCATTTTCCGTTCGAAAAAGTGCCTCCTGTATACCTTGACCTCCGTCGGGATCTGTCAGTCTTGCAAACTCCTCCGGCCTTCGAAATTCGTGTTATGTATATGTGTATAAAGAAAACACAAAATAATAATAGTAATAATTTATAAAAATAAAATTAATGTTATTCAACTTGCCTAATTTCTTTAAGAGTCAAGCTAAGCGCATGGAAGCCGGCTAAGGCCTTTAACGCCCGTTTCAAATGATCGAGTTGCAGTCCTTTCCTCCTATCTGCCATTTTAAAGCCTCTCTCTCTTAAATCTTCCATAGCGATAAGATCAATCCGCGCCGCGTATATTTTCGCAACCCCGCTGAACACTTTTTTACGATTCGCTTGTAACTTATTCAAAGCGGGCCACACATACGTATAGAATGCTACCTCGTTTCGAAACAGTTGTTCACTTTTAAACGCCTCCCGATGTTCTCTCGATCGGGGCAATACTTTATAAATAATAGCACACTCATAATTGACCCATTCGCTGCTTTCTGTTTGCCTTCGCCCTTTTGCTCGAATACGGTACAGCATAGACGTGTAATTATCACCTCTTCCCGATCCTAGTTCTTCCTCCAAGCTGTTGATCTCCACGTTCGGTTCATCTTTTGTTATCAATTCGCGCACAGATTCCAACGTGAGACGCATTTGGCCCTTCTCGTCCATCATTCTGGCAGTAAAGTAGTAAAATTCTGTTTAATAAATAGCAGGATTTTGTTTAAACAGTCCCGTGTGGTTTAACGTTCTTGAATCGATAGATATCGTAGCATTCCGGTCTTTAAAATGGACGAGTGAGTTACGATGTTAAGCTATACGATGCAGGAAATAAGTATTTGAGTGACGAGAGGATAGTACCTCCCACTGCCATGCTACTTAATTTATTAATCGTACGTACCCTAGCTGGAGAGACAAGGACATTAATATCTACCAATCATGTGTGTAATTTTTATTCTTTTGAATGACAAACTGATTGAAATTCTTCTACGTATAACACGAATTTAATAAAAGACCAATTTCAACTTTGATTCATTTTTAATAGATTAACGCGACGATTCGTCAGGTAGTTAGAAAAATTACGAAAAAGCCGAAGGAATACACGATTATATAATATTGCAAATAGCTCTTTATTATAATAAATTATAAATAAACCGATTACTATTTATCTAATGTATCTAACGCTGCTTTCCCCACTAACTCTATTAATTTATCGCGGTGTACATCGTTCAACTTTGGATTACTATACAATGTCTTAGCCAACTCAGCGGCGTGTTCGAATTCCGCAATTATACAGATTTCAAGAACAAGCTAAAAAATAAAATGAGATATATATATATATATATATATATATATATATTTGTGTTTTACTTTAAACTTAAGTAAATCAAAAGAATGATAAATGTAAATACGTACAAGAGCTTGTGTCATATATCCCTTCGAAACGCAAGTCTCAAATAATGTATTCAATTGCGTTTCTTCCATTGTTGGTAAAAATAACGCGAAACTTTTGGTGATCATAGTTAAAACTTGCGATGCTTCGGCCATACGATCATTGTATAATAAAAGTAGTGCTATCTGGCCCATCACGGCAGTACCAAACGAATTATTGCCTTTTTCCATTTCGTTCTAAAATATGAAATTTCCTTTAATTTTCCATTCTAATTCATCTCTTCATTATGTTACTTAAATGTAGTAAATACATGAAGACTATACCTTTATACTGTTAAAACAACTCAATGCTACCTCCACAAATAATTCTGTCAAAGGTGGGTTAGTCGGTAAAATAACAGTGTGTATCAAATCTATTACAGTAGAAATCAAATTAATGTTAATCGTCAATTCGTGTTTCTTTATATCTAGCCAAAACTTTAGTAAATATTCCATCACAACTTCTGGTGAATACGATTTTAAAGAGACGATAATTTTTGTCATAACGTCGTTGTCCGGGATGTACATCATCGGAACGATATTTCGATAACATTCGTAAAATTCGGAAATCGTGCTTGTCGATAATATTAACGTTACATATCTAGAATAATAATTATTCATCTGCGCATGAAAAATAAGTTATTAAATAACAAAAGAGATCAAATAGCTATACATGGTAGCAAAATATATACGTACGTAAATTGCATTCATCATAAATTTGTAATTATCATCGGTAAGAACTATCTTGTGCAACAAATCACCAGCTGCTCTATCGACATAACGGATAGAAATTATTTCCATGACCTTGGCGAAACAGTTGGTGTCCGATAGGTGTTCTAGAGTAAAACGTTCTTTTGACATCGTTCGTAGGGTGTCCATAAAACTGTTGTATGATTCATCACCTATAGAAATACGTAACTTTGCAAATCAAAACTAATTACAAAAATAATACAAGTAAAACATAATTACCTCCGCGACAAATTATTTGAAGAATATAACAATATGTGCCTAATGAAAATTTTATATTCAGCCTCCTAAATTCTTTAAGTAAATGATTTAGAACACTTCTGGCTAAAGAAGCCGACACCATCGAACATACCGATTTAAGGGTGTTATTCAATGTTATAACATTTGGATACACTCCTCTTGCAGTCATTGCTGCAAAAATACTATATATTACTGTTTTATGATTTATTGCACTTCCAGCAATACGCTGCGTTATTGATGCCAGTATGTAATTAAAAGAAGTGATGCTTAACGGGATATCTTCTTTTAAACATTTATTATACAATGACCAAACTTCACCTGCCTAGAAATTAAATTGTTAATGCATTGTATCATAGATAATTTGCTTTATAACCGAAACCACTATACCTGTTTCCATTTTCCATAGGCACATAACATAGTATTATAGGCCAAAGCTGCTGTTGCGGAATCTTGCGTTATTAAAAACTGATATAACTTTTCAATCTCCGGATCGTGCCTAAAACATAAAACTGTTAAAATTGAGAAATTAAAATTGCATGCTTAATGTTTTCGCTACTTACGTCCAAGATTTTCTATAATCCTTTTTCATGAAGAACCGTTCGTCCGGAAAAAACTCATTCTCATATGTAGTGTCATTGTAGTAACAAAACAATTCTAACAGCGCTTGTTTCGTTTCATTAGAAACATTATCTTCCAATAGGTTATAGATTTCAAGAGACTTTGATGCATTGCATCGCGATATAGTATCCAGAAGTAATTCTTCCGATACTTGACTTTTATCTGTATATTTTACTGGGGGCATAAATGCCTATAAACCATAGAATAACAATAAAGGAATTATCGAGTATTAATAGAAATCTGTTATCCGTTATGATAATAACATATTAACAACGATAAACCATACCTCGATCTTTGGATCCGAAAGATTATTTGGAAATAGATCTGCGTGTTGTTTAAAAATCCACGTTGCTGTTTTTTTGCCAGATTCACGCGCTAAAGCATATATACGATAATCTGCTTTCTTTGTTGGAATTAAGAAAGGATCATCGTAATATTTTACAGATGTGCTCAGTACATCTTTAGGTACTGTTTGACCGAGAGCCTTTTACATGGAAAGAAATCCCATATAGTTTTAGCAAATAAAATTAGAAAAAAAATATAAATCTAAAATAGACCTTTTACTGTACTTACGTATAAAATGTCTGTAGGTCCTCTTTCTATCCTACGTGGTATTTTAATACAAGAATCCGATGATGACGAAGACTGCAATCTCTTCACCTGACTCCACGAATGCCTGCTAAAATTTCGTTTCCATTAATATTGATGCTTATAACTTACGCTTGATCCATAGCATATTCAAACCGTAAACTTTCGTCTTAAAACTGATACAGTTTTTAATTATTTACGTTAAAACATTATTTCAACGAAAGGTATATATTACTAACCTATACAAAATTTGTTTCAAGTTATTCATTGCGAATTTTTATTCAGAATTGTTTATAAAAGGAAATTAATTATACATTGTTTAACATTTAATTAAAACGCAAATGCACGATACTGTCCAATGCTGCCCACAATTCGATACAATTCTCTCTCTCGTGCGAGAGTAAACAATATCGAGTAAAATGTACGTATTGTTAAACGTATAGTCAACCTAAACGCTTTTATCGTTTCTACCGGAACATCTGTTCGGTTGCCTACCTGCAGGCTTTGTTTTTTTTCTCTATGTACAGAGTAATAGGTTTCAAGGAATATTACAGAATAGAATTGATATAGTGAACGGTCGAGTCATTAACCAAAAATTATAGTTCTCAGTTTCATATACTTTTGTTTCATTAAAATAATAGCTGTATTTAATTATCTATTAAAACTATAAATTTTATTTTTTTTAAATGACACTGTACTATCAGCTGATAATTTTTGTCGCGTAAGAAATTTATGATTTATCTTCGTGTCGAGTAGAGACAAATATAATTGAATAAATTCCCGGCAATTAAACAATAATTTAGAACTAATTTACTTGTTTTGGAAACTCAACCCTGTTGACCATTCTCGATAGGTAACGTTCTCCTAGATACCTACCCATCATTACATTATAAGTTATTGGAAACAATGGGAAATTTTGTAGCATCGCAAAGTACAATGAAAAGAAAAAAACGATAATTCGTTGTCGGTTATAAAATCGACGTCGCAATAAGAATGATGCACCATCTCGGGGGAAACATTTTCGACCCTCGTTAAATGGTTCAACGCATCATTCTCGCCGGTTTTATAATCGAAGAATACTTTTGCATCGTGAATTCGTATGTAGAGGCACATGAATATGGCAGCTGCACAGTCGTATCTACAAGATAGAGATTCATTTCTTTCAGCGCATTTATTGTTTAGCATATGAATGGTGCACGAATATGCGTATACGTGCATGCGCGTGCGCGCACACACCAAGTGTACCCTTTGGCATATTACAAAGAATTGAATAAAGTTTATAAGGAAGCCAAAACCAGTCCGCAAAGCGAAGTAGTTCTCTCTTGCCGTGAGAATGCGCGCGCGAGCACCAGCCCGTTCGCGCAACCTTCTGTAACTTGGCTGTGTACGTACGTGTACGTAGTACCGTGCACACAACATAGCGCGTACATAGGGAAGAAGCCAGGTGTTTTATTTCAAACCGTGGGACTCTTAAAGGGGGATGCTTGCACCACGTTGTACCACGCGTCTTCTACCTGAAGAATATGAATGAAAAACAGGATTCATGTTCCACCAGAAACCGTGCCCCACTACTTTTATTGTGTTTTCTTATTCGATCGAATGTAACGTAACCCCTTGCGCGTCATTCTTCCACGGTTCTTTTCAACAAATTTTTCTTCCCTCATCTATAATCCGAATATGATAGAAAAGAATCGGATAGTATTTATATAGGGCATTAAGCAGCAACACACACGCGCGTCCATGTTTTGTCGGAAGGTAAACAAAGAAAAAACACCGAACGCCCGTGCAACGGCTCCTTTTCGCGTTCTCGACAGGAAATGGAAATGCGAAACGCTACGAATCTCACGAATTTCGAACGCTACCAAGAGAAAGAATAATCTACACCTCGACCTGATAAAAAAACGTTTTGTCGACGATCTACGAAACGATGTTTCTCATTTTAAATTTAAATAGTGTTATTTACGACCGTTGCACGTTACATACTACTTATATTTTAATGTGGACCTTAGGTTTCAGATTTTTTAATCGCAAGTTTTTCAAAATATTTAAAAGCGTAATATATATTATTTCTGTATCAATTCCCAATTTTACTATCAAATCTCAGAAAGTTGACGTTGATTCTCTAGTACATGAAATATTTGAATTATTACGTTACAGTGTATCAAGAGTAACGATATCTTATCGCGTTGGTAGTTGCGTAGTTTTACGGGTGGTTACGTTTAAAATGCAATAAATTAAATTTTTTCATTTATTTCGAAATTTATTCTTTTACATATTCTGTCTATAAATCATAATACAAAGTATCGTACATATCGTGATAAAGTCGTTCTTTATTTTCAATATACAAGAATAGTTTTTTATAAATATAACTATTTAAAGTAATATAAACGTATTTGTAAAGAGATGTTATACTATTCGATAATGCGTGCGTTAATTTACGTTGATATACGCAACGCTGTTTTCGTCAGCGGCCAGATATGCAACAGATGATAGGTCGAATAGATCCAGCAGGCCGGGAAGAGTGCAATTTGATCTAATCTCATAACAAATAATGCCCACATCCCGACCTGCCGGTATCCTCGATAAATTTGGCGAAAACAATTCTATAGCGCCGCTGCCCAGCCTCCTCTACCGCTTGTCTCTTGTTTCGTCGACCCGTTCCTGATGCTCGTTCGTTTCTTCTGCCTTTTTCGACGAGATACAATGCATTCCGATAGGCCGGGACAAGTGCAATATTGAAGAATTATATCGTCACGAAACATTGTCACAAATCTCGGCCTATCTTCGATGCAAATCTTTCTCCTTCGAATCTTCCCGCGTCGAATTTAATCTTGCTTCTACCAAAAAAAAAAAGAAAAAGAAGCTTATCTTGAATCGAACCAATCAGCCTTTAAATCAAAAGATGCAAGTTCCGTTGATCGGAAATTCTCGAACGAAGATTTGAAAATTTATATACATATTTACATTAATAATATAGAGAATTTACAAACATTGGGCGAGATTGTTATAGAACCACGACTGATTAAATTAAACATTGTTTACGTTATGTACACAATAAATACATACGTACTTTTGTACGAAATCTCTCTGACTCGGCCCTTGAATGGTTAGTTTCCGAATCAGAGCTCGGTTCGCTTCGAATCACAAAATTATGGCCCTAGGTTATCGTGAACTTTACGCAAACGACTATTTATACAATAGATCCCTAACGTTTTAGTCGATCGTGTAAAAAATTCTATGAACTTGGAAAACCAAAGAGTCTAATATCGTTATCTAATTAGGCTGACCATACATCGTGTGCTAACGTTGTTTTGTACACGAGGTTCAAATCCAATCGTTGTTTCGATGACAAATTTTACCGAAATACGCGATCCGATACGATTAATATTACACGTTGCGTAATTCTCTGTTAATCACTGTTCAAACAACGAGATACGTTAATGCTGTTAGAGAAAAACCATCGAAATTCACACGTTCTCGAAAAGCCCTTTGTAAGCACGTACATCTAATCTACGACGCAATACGATTTGGCGGTTGAACAACTATAATTTCTATCTTTTCGACTGTCGTTTATCGATACGAATTGCTTCGATATTTTTCGAACACAGTGTCGTAAAAAACGCACAGACTCTACGTTTTCTCGGTAGATCGAGTTAGCACAGAATCGTCGAGCGTACACGCGGTTACACGTTTCGACGGAACAGCACGTTACCGGTGTAGTACACCCTAACCCTCAAATTGAGGCGAATGACGTCTTTCGCCGGTTACCAGTGTCTCGTGTCTTTCGACTCTCTTTTGTTTCTCTCTCTCCTCTTCTTGGCTCGTTGCGTTTTAGACCCTACTTTCGTCGCACCCAATTTCCAAAGTGCCGTGCTAATGCAAACGACGAGAAATCGTCGAAAACCAGGCAATCCGAATCTTCCCCGTCCACTTCACAACACTATCGACGCAATACTGTCACGGCGTGTTTTACGAATGCGATGACGACAGCGGTATGGTGATGACGATGGCGACGGCGATGGCGATGGCGATGGCGTTTGGCGTTTGGCGATACGAAGACGAGAGTTCGAAAAATGTCGTTTTCGTTTGGCTGGTGGTTCTCGACAGTAACGTGTGTCTGGCATCGAGTCTGCAGAAAACCGTGAAAGACGCGACGACGACGTCCCGCGCAGGGAGTTCTCGACAAACTGCTGCCCGTGACCAGGTGTCTCGACTCTTTATTCCTTTTGGGCCCCAACTACATAAAAGCCCCCGGCTATATAGGTGCCCCTTAGGTTCGATGGTGGGGGCTTATTCTTATTTAACAGCAACGAAGCAGGAACACCAGCAACAACCAACTTTGAAGTCTCCCTCCTTTTTCTCGGTCATCCTTTTTTTTCGGACCCTCTCTATTCTCTCTGTCTTTCTCCGTCGACTTCTACCTCCGATTCTTCTAACATCTTTCGCTTTTCATTCGAGCAGCCGTCCTTTCCTTAAACTTAGCGCTCTTTCTTCGTTCTTCCCCCCTGTGCCGCTTTGTGGTGCGGATCCATCGGCCAAAGCCCGCCAAAATTGTATCAGCTGTCCTGAATTTTGCTCCGCCTGTCAAGTATGTGACGTATACCGCTCTTCTCGTTCTTCTCCTCCTTGTCAGGTAAGTATCCCATGGGGAAAAAAGGGTCAGTTGAATTTTACAATAGCGAGGCTATTACAATCGATGCAGTGACACTTTCTGGTCTCGTTTTTCAAATAATATCGCGAAATTTTCTTGCTTGCCGTTGAAAATCTACCGTGCCCTATTTCTCGTTGCAATAAATATTTGTTCTTCTTACATTTTTACGTTCGAACAATATTTTCTATATCGTGTATGCACGCGGCGGATCTCTAAATTACCTCATGCTTCGTAAAGCTACTAATCATCTTTTTTTAATTGCACAAAATTGCTATGCATCGCGTAAACGTTAGGACCAGTCTCGAAGAAATCGTCGTTCGCACAACGACTACGTTAACGTGCGCGATAAGTGCTAAATTTCTCAACCGTTCGACAAGCTGGTGGTAGATTCATATGTATTTTCACCTGGCACAGCTGAACCTTAAGTTTAGCACGTGCTTCTGTCATCTTGCTGCAATTTCGCTAGTATCGTGTCGTCTTAACGGTGACGTTCCATAAATGAAAACAATTCCATTAGACTTGACCTACTACGACAATTTAACTTTTATTTACCGTCGTGCGATCTTAAAAATCGGCCAATTTTTTCCTCCCCATAACCATAAAAGTACTTTCCTTTAACAATACGAACGTCTATATGGTCTTTCTCCATCTTTATTTTAATTCGAAATTGTTCTGTTCTGCTTATATCAAAGGGCTTTTAAAACTTCAACGGCGTACGCGTAGATCGTTTTCTTTCCCGTGCCACGTTCCGTTACAAAACAATTTTTATGCTGGTCGTAAATCGACGCAGAATGATTTCGATTTATTCGAGTATCGGTTCTGATGCTATTTAGGCTAGATACGTTGCTCGTCGAGAAAAAGGTGTTGCCTGGGTGTTATTCTTTTCGTTAACGTTGACACGTATATCCGGAGGAAGAAGGAAAATTGAAAACAGGAGTGATTGAGAACCACTTGTAGGAGGACAGCTGCGCTGTGAGCGCATCTGCTGTCGGTTGCGCGGGCACGCGCGCTTACATATCCTTATTTCTACGTACACGGGTCGAACGCATACGATATCCCAATACAGTCTCCTCTGTTCTCCTTACTTCCACCGTGCTGTTCCATCCTTTTTTCGCCCGTCCTTTTCTTTTCCCTTTCCGTCTTTATTTTTGTCCGAACGTTCGTCTCCTCCCTCCTCCCCACCACCCCACCTCTTCTCACTCCCTTCTCATGGGTCGTCTCTCTCCCTGTCCTTCGTTCGTTTCAGTTAGTTTCTTTTTTCTCACCCCTCGGAACTACGACATTGCAGCATTCGAATCCGTTTTCAACATACCTCCTAGCGAACGCGTCTTCCCGTTGTATCGGGGGTTGACAAACCGTCATCTTCCCTTTAATACCGTCCAGAACGAGGATTTACAATCCGTGAGAGAGAGGGTCCACCCGTGTTTATGGCATACACGATGGTTGCTGGTTTCGAATGCCTCGTGCACCTAGTTCATAATACCTACAGGGCTTATACGAACGGCAGGGCAGGCAGGGCTTTCTACGGTGTGAGTAGCGGAGTGTGCGGTGCAGCTTGCCAGCCGGTACCGTGTACCGCGGTACCCGAAAATTTTCTTTGTCCTTATTGTCCGAGGCATTTCCACTGGTACGAGTTTACGAGGCCTGTGCTTCCTAGAAAATTTTCGATTTTCTCCACCGGGGGGTTTTTCCATCTGCCTGCCCTGTTCCCGTTCATTTCCTTTCTTCTTTCGCTCTTGTTCATTCTTACGGACACCCTCCTGTCGGGATTTTAAGTTCGGGCTCTTTGTCTCTTTATATACCTGCTCTCGTTGAAACGAACTGACTCAATAGCGATCGTCGTTTCGCGTAGAGTTTTCTAGAAATTGTATATTATTGCGTTCACTTTCAGAAACAAAAACGTAGAAAGTACGGATTGAAATTTTACACCATATTCTCTTCAAGCATCTTTATTATACTTGATCGCGTGACACAGTGTTGGTAAGAAATTACACGTGTACTTCGACTATATTAACGAAAATAAAATTACATTTTCGATAAAAAAAATTAACCGAGCTTGTTGATAGGTTAACCATGAAAGTTTTTCCTCTTGCCATTGTTTGTATCGGCTTTTCGTAATAAGAAAACTCTCGAAGAACATCGACACATGCCAGCAAAGGGAATGGCATCAATGTTCCGCATGCCCTTCACACTGTAGGGCCCAGATGGCAAGCGTTGAGTCCCTTACTTAAATTTTAACCATGATATAATGCTGCTGGTTTTCGGGCCACCTGTTCTATGCGTAGATCAGAGATATTCCAAAAATTCCTTAACACTCTATAAAAATCTACTCTCACGGGTTGTATAACGTGAACAAATGTGCCACCTTGCATTGAATTTCTATACGAATGTAGTATTCGTTATACGTTGGTGTTTATTTTAAATTCTAACCTAAAATAAGTCGTTCGATGGTTCCGTTTTAATATCAGCGGAAATATTGATTTCTTTTTTACTGTTAATCGTATTCGCGCAACAAGGACCGAAAAAACTGATGCTTAGTCTTTGTGATTTATTCCTACGGAACTTGGATTAGAAAAAATTCTATTGAAAGACTGCACGTTAAAAAACGGTCGTCCCTGGCGACGTTACACTTTGGGACGGGTTTCAAAAGATCTTTGTTCCCGTCGAGGAAGTGGATCCGTGGTTGAATGCAAATGTGTTTGTGTCCCGTGTATACGAATCTTTATATCGTGTGCAACCGGAAGTTAAACATACATAATGTTTCTGGGTGCGCCTGTTTGTGCTATTTTTCGCTTCACTGACAAATAAAAACAATGTAATGATTAATCGTGATTCAATACAAATACCCATAAATACGGCTATTTTAATACATATAACAAGTTTATTAGAATACATTTCACTTCCCCTACGAATCCCTATCTTTACAGTTAGGATTTTAGATATTTCGAAGAATTGCAATCTGTGCCTTGTTAGCTTCAATTGGCTTTATTTACTACGTAATGCGTGTAATCGATATATTAAACGTTTATCTTATCGATCAAATGAATAAATTATGTTGTGATTTCAATGGATAGATAATGGATAGACGCTAATAATTTAGAAGACCGGAAATCAGATTCACGTATAATCTACTTTAACTACAGTTCGTCGATAATGTTGTTTCCATGGTAAAATAGATTTCTTTCTTGTCAATTGTAAGAATAGTAGAGAAAAATTTTTTGAAACAGGCCACGAAAAGTATGTCACCCTTTCACTTCTAGGAAACAATCTCTCCAGCCACGTACGATGAAAGAAGTAGAATGTATAACTGCTAAATTGTATTTTACGTCCTCAAACGAGACATCTTCTTTACGAAAATTATGTCGCGCGTGAAAAGTCAAAATAAAATTAAGTATTAATCATGTGCTAAACTGAAATTAATATTTATACCACAGACGAGGTATAAGATAGATCTAACATCTTATGGAGTTTTATGTTTGCAACGAAATTGTGTTTAAATGGAATTCCTACCACATAAAGCGTTACGAACTATTTCCATATCTTATCGGTCACGTTGTATGTGACATTAACACGATAATAGAATTTCAGGACCAGCCTGGACCATACAGGACCCCATAAACCGTGGACAGACAAGAGCATTGGATGTTGAGTCTGTTTCCATAGCTCGTCCGTACTTATACAAATATAATAATTTAAGACAGGATCGATGATCCATGAGAAATACAAAAAGTAACAATGGTCGAAATAAAAGACAATACCGTTCGAGTAGTGTTTATTTCATTACTTTTGGATCTATTAGCATTTACCATGATATTACCATTATTGCCAGCTTTATTAGATTATTATAAGAGTATAGAAAATGGTCAGGGTTTATATTTTAAAATTTTACACTACATACAACGAGCAAGCATATATTTTGATGCTCCTGATAAAGTCAATACAGTGCTTTATGGAGGTTAGTCTTCTTTTTTTTCTTTAATGTAAATATTAATGAATTGATATTAATTTAATTTGCAGGCTTTCTTGGTTCCATGTACTCCTTTCTACAATTTTTGGGTTCACCAATTGTAGGTGCATTGTCTGATATTTATGGAAGGAAACCATTGATGTTATTTTGTTTAACTGGGATTATGATGTCTTATTTATTATGGGCACTATCCTGTAACTTTACTATATTTGTATTAGCAAGATTCATTGGAGGTATTAGCAAGGGAAACATTAGCTTATCAATGGCTATTATCACAGATGTTACATCAGCAAAAACAAGGGGGAGAGCAATGGTATATCTCAAAGGAATTGTTCAAGGAAATAATATATAAATGAAAATGTTTGTAAATGAAATTTAGACTGGAATATCATTTAATTTTTAGGCACTTGTTGGCATTGCCTTCTCCATAGGTTTTGTTGTGGGTCCAATGATAGGTGCATTCTTTGCTTGGTCCTCAATCAATAACAGGACAGGAACTTGGTACATAATACCTGCTGTATTTGCTCTTTTTTTAGCAGCAAGTGATTTATGTTTTGTTATTTGTAATTTGAAAGAATCTCTACCATTAAAGAGTAGAGCAAAGAATCTCAAGTGTGGCATGTTGGGAACTATTGCTTATATCAATCCTATTGATCTATTTCAGTTCAATGGAGTGTCTGACTTAAATTTACAAGGTAAACTTTTCCTTTTCAAATTGTCATATTACAAATTCTATAGACATTAATGAAAACTATGTACATTGTTTTAGATAAAAAAAATTTAAGAACACTGGGCTGTGCATATTTCATGTACTTATTTATTTATAGCGGCTTAGAATTTACTTTAACTTTCCTAACTCACTATCTATTTGAATTTACAAGTATGCAACAAGGATGGATGTTCTTAGGAATTGGGTTAGTTATGGCAATCTTGCAAGGAGGTTGGGTACGAACAATTCCACCTAATAAAACAAAGTCTACAGCAGAATTGGTAAATATTTTTAGAAGTTAAGGCAAAGAACGAATTTATTAATCTTTTTTTCCTGCTACATGGTGCACATATTTTAGGGCTTATGGTTAATAATTCCAGCATTTGTATGTATAGGGATAGCAGAAGACATACTAACATTATCTATTGGAATATTCCTCTTTGCAATTTGTAAGCATATTATGCAATGTTTATTTTATAATCTAAATATTTAGAAACGAACAGAAATTGTTTATTCTTTTCAATCTGTTGTAGCTACTGCCATGGTTGTTACTTGTATGATGACACTCGTAACACAAATTGGGCCTGAAAATCAAAAAGGTGTGATAACAGGCGTCTTTCGTTCTCTCGGGGCATTGGCTAGAGCTTGTGGACCTATCATAGCTTCCTCTGGTAAGAATAAAGCATAGAAGTATTTAATTACATTAATGCATTTAGGGAACTATCTTTTATTTTAGCTTTTTGGTGCATTGGCAGTAAGATAACATATCTTATTGGTGCTGTATTTCTCATATTTCCACCCCTTATTCTTCAGAGTATAAAATTACTTTGAACAAGAGAGTTAAAAAAATTTCATATGAAAATGTTATATTTCTATAAATATTTACATGTTCAGACAGTATTTTTGAATAAATAAATATAATATATATATTTATTTATAATTAATTGTATACAATGAGATATTTTACGAGTATTTTATAAAGTATTCTTTATATATTTATTGTATTATGTAATGACAGAATAATATATTTTAAGTTTTATATTGAAATTGGGCATTTCAATGTGTATATTTTTCTTTTATTTCCCTTTGTTTCTTGCTAAAACAATCCTGATAATCCAGACGAGGTCGTCTGTGGTATTGCATTCATTTCGGTCGCGTGTATACGTATGTTACTTTTTTTGCTTTTATTTGGTATCGTGTATCTCAAAAAAACAGAACATGATGATAATAATGAAAATTATCAATTTTCAACGGTACATGTAAAATGCAGTCATTATATATAGGGTTGCTTTTATGATAAATCGAGTACGAACAAAACTAAAATAAATATGATCGATTGTTAACAAAAAGTACTAAAAATTGACGTGAAAATATACATATGTCGCTATATATTTCTTTAGGCTATGTTCTTGGGGAAAATCGGAAATTTGCGCAAGCGCGGTTAGAGTACGGTCATGTGATATACCCTTTCTCCTTCCCTCGCGCCATTTACGGTAAGAAATTCTCAGAATTCCTGATCCGCAACACTCCGTCGTCGCCCGCGCTGATGAGAGTAACGCAGAAGGGGGAAAGTTATTGATGAGATTCGCGCGTGTGACCGGCCCCCGCGATTCTTAGGTTTACGACTATTGCGCGGTAGACTAAATAGTTTTGATCGGTTCAAAGGTCACGTCCCGAGCAGATCGTGCCGTATTGTCAGAAAGAGAAAGATAGATAGTGGTATTCAACAATACAGATCCTAGTTGCTTCTGTCTTCGGACTAGCAGCAGGTGAGTTCGGTCAATTCTTTGAGCGAACATCTTTTTCTTTCGCCCCTCCCGCTTATCTATTTCCTCGTTATTGCGATAAGTCACGTTCTGTTATCTGCAGTTCTTTTTTTTTTGTCGTATTTATTACATCGAATGTGATTGGAAAAAAACGATTTACGCTTAATATTTTAATTGGCTGTGATCTTTGCAGTAATTGAAAATATTAGACGATGCAGGTAATTTTTATTTTGTTTGAATTTTTTTAAATATCTACCCGCATGCTTCCCGTTGATCTCATCGAACGTATCTTCGATTCGTTGGATCGTACCAATTATGCATGTTTTGCAGTTCTTTATTGAAAAATACATACAAAATTCGTTATTTGATTATTTATGTATTAAATATAGAAACAAAGACTCATAGTGCATTGCTTATTTGTGGTTATATTACCGACTTCGTAGTTGTATATTGTCATAGTTATTGTTGAAAACACTTGCTGTTACATATATATTTTTTTAGATTCAGGAGGAAAACTAAGGGATTTAGTAATTGTTTGTGTATAATATCGGTGTTTTAAAAATCGTTTTAGGGTAAAGGATTTACATCAGAATTCAAAATGTCACTGTGGGCAAAAGCACAACAGTTGCCACAAGATGCTTTGCAACAAGTACGCTCGGTGTATGGAGAACATTTTCCAATAGAGGTTCGACATTTTTTGTCTACCTGGATCGAAGAAAAAATGTGGTAAGACAGAAGTGTATATATATATCTTTGATACTATTTTATTTAGTACTTGTAGATCTTTTAATGCTATTGTATTTGTGTTATAGGACTGACATAGAACCTGAAAATCCACAACACGAACAGTACATAGCCAATCTAGTTATATCTTTGATACAAGAATTAGAATCCAAAGCAGCTTCTTTAAATACAGACGATATGTTTCTCACAAAGTTAAAATTAATTGAAGCTGCAAAAAATTTTCGTGTAAGTTTTTTTATCCAAATGTTTGGAAGTAATTTGTACAAATTTAATGTATAGAACTTTATTCTATTATAGCAGAGGTACACCCACAATCCAACAACATTGTTTAGAATAATTAGACACTGTTTAGCAACAGAAATGAAATTAGTAGCACAGGTAGAGAATTTGGGAGGTGCTTTGATAAGTATGGCAGGTGGAAAAGTTGGATTGCTCAGCGATGCCGTTGCCGAAATAGCGCAGCACGTTGAATCTTTACGACGCAGAACGCAAGAGACCGGGGAAGATTTACGAAAAATGGAACAGGAACAAGAAGCATTTGCGATCAGTTACCACGAATGTACTAAATTGAACGCGCATCTCCAACATCTCGCAACGCAACCGCAAAATCAACAAAATTTGGACTTGGAGAAGAAGATCAGGAGGTAACTTTTAAAGCTTTCGGTCGTTCAAACCGAATTTTTAGCTACTTATAGTATTTTTCTACAGGCAAAAAGAGCAACAGGAGCAATTATTAAACCATAAAGTAGCTGGTTTAATGCAGTTACGTTTGACGTTAGCCGATAAATTGAAAGACACGATCACCAGATTGAACAGCTTGCAATCCAGAGTCTTGGACGACGAACTTATTAGGTAAAATTTCATCGAACTTTGGTTCTTTCGTTTGATAGTTTTGGATACATTTTATCTACAAAAGTTCTCGTTTCGCAGATGGAAAAGAGTACAACAATTGGCAGGAAACGGCGGACCATTTAACAGTAATTTAGACTCTATTCAAGAATGGTGCGAAAGTTTAGCCGAATTAATTTGGCTGAATCGTCAACAAATCAAAGAAGCAGAACGTTTGAAACAAAAATTTGCGCTCGAACCGCCAGGAATGCAAGATATTCTGCCTACGTTGAATTCACAGATCACACAGCTTCTTAGTTCGTTAGTTACTAGCACGTTTATCATAGAAAAGCAACCGCCGCAAGTAATGAAAACCAATACTCGTTTCACGAGTACAGTACGTCTTCTGGTGGGTGGAAAACTGAATGTTCATATGACTCCGCCTCAAGTAAAAGTAAGCATTATTAGCGAGGCTCAGGCGAACGCTATGTTGAAAAGCGATAAAATGGCAAAGAATGGAGAAGCTAGCGGTGAAATTTTGAACAATACAGGAACGATGGAGTACCATCAAGTAAGAAAAACTATATAGTCAGTGATATTATAAAAATCACCTTAATTTTTTATGTCGCGATGCATATAAACGTGGCCTTATTTCTCAGGCAACAAGACAACTATCCGTAAGTTTTCGCAACATGCAGCTGAAGAAGATCAAAAGAGCCGAAAAGAAAGGAACAGAGTCTGTCATGGACGAAAAGTTTTCGCTTCTTTTTCAATCGCAATTTAGCGTCGGGGGAGGTGAATTGGTATTCCAGGTTTGGACGTTAAGTTTACCAGTTGTAGTAATTGTACATGGAAATCAAGAGCCGCACGCGTGGGCTACGGTTACGTGGGATAACGCTTTCGCCGAACCTGGAAGAGTACCATTTGCAGTGCCCGATAAGGTTCCCTGGGGTCAAGTAGCCGAAGCATTAAACGTTAAATTCAAATCGGCAACAGGTCGTTCATTGACAGAAGACAATCTTCGATTTCTTGCGGAGAAAGCATTTCGCGGTGGAAACGCGGGCGGACAAGACTATTCCGGGCTACTATTGAGCTGGGCACAGTTTTGCAAGGAGCCACTACCCGAAAGGAATTTCACGTTCTGGGAATGGTTTTACGCCGTGATGAAATTAACCAGGGAGCACTTGAAGGGCCCCTGGGCCGACGGTTGCATATTAGGATTCGTGAAGAAAAAACAGGCCGAGGAAATGCTGGCAACCTGCGCGTCAGGGACTTTCCTAATGCGTTTTTCAGATTCGGAACTAGGTGGCGTTACCATCGCGTGGGTCGCAGGTAAAATTGTTTTTATCTTTACCCATTCTGTGTTGGACCTTACCGATGCATGACCGTCTTGTGCTAAACATTTTATAGATCAAACCGAGGTCTTTATGTTACAACCGTTCACGAGTAAAGATTTTGCGATACGCAGCTTGGCGGATCGTTTGTTTGATTTGCAACACCTGCTTTACCTCTACCCAGACCGGTCGAAAGATCAAGCATTTTCCAAATATTACACGCCGTTCGCAGGTAAATATTACTTCCCGCCATGTACTTTTGCTCGTTTAGGCGATGCTTTGGATTTGAGTATTGGACAATGTACTTTGTCGTAGAAAATCAACCTACGTCGACGAATGGATATGTGAAACCTTTCTTAGTAACGCACGTACCTGGTTGGGGCGGGCCGGGTGTTGGTGGTCAGACACCGTCACACTCTTCTGTAGTCGGGGTAGGCAGTAGTGGTCAAAGTGGTCCAGGTGGTAGTTATCCTGCAACGCCGTCCACCATATTCCAAGCGCACAGTCCTGACCCGTCCGTAACACGCGATACTCCATCGGTGGCTTCCAGGTCAGTCCCCTGGATCTAAAATATCAATCATATTTCATTTATTTACTAATAGGATAAGCTGCTATAGATATTTCATACGAGATATGCAAAGATTCCTCTTTCGATATCGTACACCGTACTTAAACGTCCGAGTTCGATGCTCAAGTTCTCAAGCGAGGTTAAAGGTTATTTTAGAAATTTTTAAGACTATCGGGATATACCTTCGGCTCGATATTGCCCGAACGGGCGAGCTTTCGGCACAAGCAGACAATAATACGCGAATTCGTCAAAAAGGTGGAAACAAAGACATTCCTATAACGATCCGTAACGCTTTGCATGTCTTTTATATTCTATCTGTGCAGACAATGTCAGTATTGTTTTTTTTATGTTCTCCTTTTTGCAAATGTTTAGAAAAATATTTACAGTGATATTATAGTTTCACGCATTTTGTAAACTTTTCTTATGGAATTTTGAAATTTTTACACAACTGTATCGTGAAATGAAAGTATAAGTATAACATTAAATTGCGCCAAGCGATTCTGTCCGTAATTAAGGGAACAACTCCAACTATTATATTATATTGGAGAATACTGGGTGCCTAAAGGCAATTTTCCTGAAGTAGATTTAGTATTTGAACGATCGTATCTTCGCGTATACCGTGTAACGTATACGAAACTTATAAAACAACTAGTCTTCTGATTTCATTTTCATTTACGTTTTCATTAATCCTTTTTTTATTTTTTATTTCACTTCAATTAGTCCCCGTGTCACCCAGAACTGTTCCAATATTATAATTATTTATCAGTAAGTATATATTTACTAGTATTAAGTGGCATTGTTACGAAGTATGAGTTACCGAATGATGCCATTATCAATGCTCCGAAGGAGGTCCTCTGTACGAATATTTTATGGCGAATCTAACCTAGTGATTATACACATACTAGTAACGCGGTGCTATAATATGGTCTAGTTGCATAATTTTTCAGATTTAGATACAATTGTTCGCTATGCAAATTGCAGCGAAATCCGTCCAACGGATACGATAGCTTACAAATGGAGGATCTTCAGGCACACGGAGCGCAGTTTGGTCGTAGATCCATTTGTCCTTTTTTTTTCTCTCTCTCTCTTTTATTTCTTTTGTAATTTATAGTGTTTAGTTTTGTAGCATGAGTGGGGAACACAACAGAGGTTTGTTGACAAAAAAAAAAAACAAAAAAAAAACAAACAATAGTTCGTACTTTCTTCTGAGACTGCCAAAATTTTGTATGTGTGTTTCTTTTTAGCGATCGGCTTATCCATGGCTTTTTAAAAGAATAAATAAACCTGACGATTCGAGTATCAAAAGCTCCTGCTTTACTCGTAGTATTCTATGTGTATGAATATATATTTATATATATAAATATATATACATATATATATATATATATATATATATATGTGTGTGTATTTACGTATACTTTTCTGATACATAATTCGTACGCTAGAAAAAAGAATAACGTACTATCGATAGCTGAACGAGCTGCATGACGTGAGACGCGAGTCTACGTGTGTGCAAGTACTCTGCTTAACACGAGAATTCCGAGAAACGGAAGGCAAAGGCCTGGAGCAAGCCGGTACAACCACAACAACGGAAAATTGAACGCTTAATACATGCTACTCCTGAGAAAACGCAGCTCCAATCACGATGCATTAGTATACAATGTTCTACTGGCAAATTGATGTACAATGTGTTGTACGTAGAGGGTGTTGTGGCTAGATGGCGGGCACTGCTTTGTTCAGTTCAGGGGACCGTAGTCGATACGACAACGCGTTAAAAATTCAGGGGTTGTATCGCTCGGAGGTGACCGATCGATCTCGATTGGGATTCGGGGATATCACTTTGTGGTTGTTCGTACGTCCCTTGCCGTGTTGTACCGGCTATCCGGCTAATCGGTCACACGTTTTGGCAAAATGATGTTCTCGGTGATCGTTTGGTTCATCGATCGATCGAAAAGTAAAAAAAAAAAAAGAATGCAGGAATTAACGAGCAAAAGAGATAACAAGATGACGCGTGAAATAGAAAAGATAATAGTGATATAACGTATAACGGTAGATGATATGTTTGGAATTAGTACGAGACTGTCTATTGCTATGCCAGTGATTGGGGTTGTGTTTTGATTTGTGGTAGCTACGCTCCGGGCCTTGGCCAGTCAAGCGTTGGGCGAGCAAACACGGACATGGACTATGTGGATCTGATGAGTCACAGCGAGCTGCCCTCGATCGACGAAAATATCGACTTGGAGCCCTTTAATAGCTTTAGCTTCTCCGAGTTCATACAATCGTACAACACTAAGCCGCAATAGGTATGTCGGGACGATCGCGATGCGTTTCTTGTTTGTACCTATATTGTTGCGTCGACTGGCCGACTTCGTTTGTTCGATCCACATCCACATGGATTTTTAAACCGTTGTTTGATAGGGGAGGGATGTAAAAAGAAAAATGATCGTCTCTTGTCGTCGTTAATATCGTTCATCCGACACGCTATACACACTTGTTCTTAGTTTGTATTCGCCTCCGACGATGCGTTGGTATATGCCTTTCGATTAGATCGTGTAAGTGCAATATATGTATGTAGTATAATTTATCAAGGCGATTACCAATCGATTCTAGTTACTTTGCAAACGAAAAATCGCACCTACATTTATACACATACTACTACTTGTTATTTAGTTGCAATTATACGCGTACCACACTCGACATTATAGTAGTTTATTGTTTTCATCGCGAAACACTTATTGCGTCGAATGTTAACAACGGCAGTTTCGAAATTTTAGAAACGTTCGATCGAAACGAACCAAATTATTTGCTCCGCGTAGGATCTACCAGCTTATGTTTTAGGTTTATATTTTACCACGAGGCTTTCTTTTACGAGATATTTAATTTTATTCGGCTTCTCTTTAATAGTTCAAATTATTGCGATTCGTAAGGAAATGTTTAAGATACAAAAATCACATAGAGTTAATTTAGATATCGTTAACGTAGTATACTTTTAAATATTAAACCATCTTGTACAAAACAATTTAAATGATTTTACAGATAATATTATACGATCTTTGTTTCTTTTTTTTTTTTCCTCTTTTTAACAACTATCTTTTAACGATGGTCACGACAGCCTATCAATGCACATTAAAAGATCTTTTTGTTGCTCGAAAGGACATAAAGTAGAGAAAAAACTATACTAGAATCAGTATGTATAATGCGTAAGTAGGGACAATCACTTCCGTCTAGTTTTGTAAATAGCGAAATTACAAGAAATTAAATTTTTTAATTTATTAACCGGACGTGCGACGTACCAAACATACAAGAGATTTGTGCAACGTTATGTAATTTGCGTGACCTAATCTTTAAATCGTGCCTTACAATCTTTAAATCTATTATTATAATATTTTTCGAAAATACTTACATGTAAATTTACATCTAGATTTAGTGAAACTCTTCCTTTTCGTGAGAGGATTCGCGTTATCGATACAAAACGCGAACACTAATCGCACGATGAAATGTTTGTTTCGACTTGAAGCGTGATGATAACGCAATATAGTAAGAAAAAAAAAAATTAGCAAATTCGAAGTAAAGGCATCTTTAACGCAAGCGTTAATCCTAAGCGTCTAAAAGTTTAATGGGCAATTTAAATAGACAAAATTAATCGTACCTTTAATTATCGTTCCCTCCCCTGTGGTATATGTAATATTAAAAAAAAAGAAGAAAATTATTAATTGTTACGCATATGTAAAACATCGATGTACGCTAAGTTTTGCCTTGGGTAGGATTTACACGCATTGTTATCCCATTATATTTACTATATAATATATATATAATATATTATATATATGTACGTATGTATGTATGAAATAAGCTATATCTCTGAAGAGTGTACGTTAATATTGTCTATTGATCTTTTTATCAAAGATTAGAGTTTATTTTATTATTGAGAACAATTTTACATTTTGTAAAAGATAAAACGTGTATTATTCGTCAACCTGTATACAGTAATTACTATACATAAGTGTAAAATAAGATGCATCCGTATATCGACGTACCATACAATAAAATATCCTTAAATTCGACTTCCGAATTACTCTTGCGCCGTCACCTCTGCGTACGTTCAGACGAACCGAACATATTCGTTTTAGCTTTCGCTGTACATACGATAGAAATAAGGCTTTTATTTTTCACTCTCGATCGAACAAAAAAATAATTGCCGAGAAATTTTGTAATTTCGATGCTTCTTGTAATGTTCATAGATATATTACCATTCGACGAATAAAATTTTGTTTAACGTTTACAATTGTTCTCGTCCACGGTGTTTGCTTGCGCAAGCGGGCACGTATCTTCCGAAAGCAAGCAGTCACATGCACCGGGCTCGCATATCTCTTCGTAATGTCCAGGAGCGGGATAACTAGCTTGATAAATAGTGTCGGTGCACATAGGATCCGTGGGCGGTTGGTATTTGCTTTTCGATGCCCATGGAATACTTTCCTTGGGAGTCGGGCACCACGGCTGATACGACAACTTGCTCACGCTCTCGCAATCAATTTTATGAGGTAACCTGTAACACGCAATCGAAAGGCGAATAATAAAGCTCGAACGAAAAGACGTAATCGTGCATTTTCAATTTATTTCATTTAAACGAACGATCTGCGTTCCCTTTGCCCTGTTCCTATCGTTTACATCCCCTCCTTGTTGCAGTCCATTGACTCACGGGCATTGGTTGAAAACTGTGACGAAGTTCGGTGACAGCCAATCAGCGGACTGCAGCAAGAGTGGGGATGTAAGCGCGCTGTGCCTACTTCTCGCGGAAGGACGATACGTTATGACCTGCTCTAATATTCCCGCCTTTTTTACCTAATATACCGGGCAACAGGTTTGAAACTTTCGACGCATTTTATTGGCCCGGGTTTGACGTAAGATAATCTGGTCGTAGTTCTGTCTTCCATTGGTGTCTCGGCGCTTCGTAGATTATTACACGGGACAACAAGATCGGGCCTCGTGGACGCTTTCGGGGCGAAGTCGGAACGATTTGTGGTCTCCGATTGCATCGGGCCGTCTCCTATCATACATCTGCGTCGCGGCAATATCGGAGAACGTTTCTCACTTTGAACCGGTTGATAACTCAACTGCAAGAGAATCTCGCAGATTAAATACAATGTTGCCAAATCGTACGGCCGATGTCTCCGAGTATAGCCGGCAAAAGAAATACAGAGAATCCTTCGTGGACCGTCTTTATCTTACACGAATCAAAAATTCGATTTACGAGTTCATCTGCTGTTTCTTCTACCGACCACGCGTATGTACTTTGCTCGTCGTGTCCCCCGATATTCTGCCATCTGGTTTCGATATACTGTTGCAAGGAATGAAAGGTTCGACGCGGTCTACGTTGCACGACTCCAAATAGCTTTCTTTGTAAATTGTTTTCCCGGCGAATTCACCGCCACAGGGAAGTATATTGGTCGCGGTCGGCTTGATGGGTTTCTCCGTGCATGATTCCTCGGTTTTCAAATAACTCTCAGAATACGTGGTCCTTCCACACATCGAGACATCTGGAGGTCTTTAAATATTTGTTGTTACAGCGTCCTACAGAGGGACCTATGAAACACGAATTGCTTAATCCCGCGCAAATACCTGTACGTCGGTTTCAGCTGCCACGGACATATCTCTTTCTCTTGAAAATCAACAGGTTGATAGCTCAACTTTTGAGTAGTGTCGTGAAGTATCGGTTCGCTGGGTGGACAATAAGCTCTCAGAGGCTTGAAGTTCATCGTCGGCTCTGTAGGGCCTGGATCCACGTAAGAAAGTTTCGCGGTTGTACTACCATCCAATTTACCACCGCTTAAACGTATGTGCCCGCAGGGCACTATCACTTCCGGTCTGTCTATGTGTTTCCGCGCGAAATCTCGTCGAACGGTAGTGACGCACTCCATGCGACCTGATCCGATCATCGGTCTGATTTGAAAGAAAGAAAAATATGTTTCTCGCTTGTAATTTTGAAATACAGGGTGCTCGGCCACCCCTGGGAAAAATTCTAATGGGAGATTCCAGAAGTCAAAATAAGACGAAAATCAAGAATATCAATTTGTTGATGGAGGCTTTCTTAAAAAATTATTAAAGTTTAAAGTTCCAACCGTAATGAATTTTTTTCTAGAAAATGGGTAGGATTTCGGGGGTATGTCCATTCACCAAAAATGATTGCAATTGACCCCCGCAGCCGAAAATAATTTTTCCAGAACGATTTGAAATTTTTTTTTTCGTCGAAAAATTTAGGCACCTAGATTTTCGGTAAGGAATTTTTTTCTCGAAAGTGCGTAGGATTTCGGGGGTATGTCTATTCACCAAAAATGATTGCAATTGACCACCGCAGCCGATAATAATTTTTCCAAAACGATTTGAAATTTTTTTTTTCCGTCGAAAAACTTCACACCTTCTCGAATTTTTTTCTAGAAAATGGGAAGGATTTCGGGGGTATGTCCATTCACCAAAAATGATTGCAATTGACCCCCGCAGCCGAAAATAATTTTTCCAGAACGATATGAAATTTTTTAATTTCGTCTTATTTTGGCCCCCAGAATCTCCCATTAAAATTTTTCCCAAGGGTGGCCGAACACCCTGTATAATATTTGTTACCTTTGCTTAGGTAGAATCGGTTTTACTTTGGGGATATGTCCGACGGGCTTGTAACTTAATTTGTTCGTAGTATCGTTGGAGAATTTCCCGTCTGGTTTAGCAAGAGCAGGAATTGGTCGGATGGGTTGAGATCGAGTGTAACACATTTTCCCATGGTCTACGTTCAAGTACGACAAGTGGTACGTTGTATTAGCCTCGAGAACCTTCGACGGCGGACAATACGTTCTCTCCGGTGCGAATGATTTTACTCGTAATGGTTGCACGTATCTCTTCGTACACTATATGTACAGTACAAATATAAATAATATAATCGAATAAAAAGATCGTAATGTAAATAAGAATAGATCGTTACTCTAACGTTACATGGGCATTCTAACGGTTTATAACGTGACAACTGCCTCTTGTTCGTGTTAATCTCCACCACTTCCATTTTACTATTTTTTTTTTTTTTTTTTCTAATTAAATAGTATAAATACGCGCTTCCCGTCGATGAGTCTAAATACAAAATGTTTCACAATATAAAATACAACGATACAAAACGACGATGATTGCTACTTGCAACTGTCAACTTTTGTGTTACATTTTGCGACTCGAATGAAACGTGTAATTTAACGATAACATATCTTCGAAGTTAGTTTTAAGTCAATGTTATTTAAACGAAAACAAAGTACAGGTCACGATAAAATCGATTACACGGACGATCGATTGTACATTCAAATATCGTGTTATTACGCGTTGTAAAATCAGAAAAGATTTAATTTCGTAAATCGAAATCTTTGACGACCATAATATAAATTTTACGTCTTAGCCGCTAATAGAAAATTTATTTTCTCATCAGTCGTGGTTAAAAATATAATATGATTCCGTAGAATGTTTATTTTAAACAATAAGAATATGGCCTTTAAGTATCAGATTACAGTTCATTTTTATGTTTCTCATGTTTCTTCCAGACATCTGAAAATACGTAAATTAATATGCTCGATCCGTAAACATGAATCAGCACGACATGTTGATAATACGGAAGACGCAAAAAAACATACAATATGAATATATACTCGCGCTTCGTTAAGGGGGGGTATTGTTTATGCGTAGACATAAAACGTTGCATATATTCGTTAATCACTTTTCTTACTTTCTTCTTTCACACGAAGCATATCGAAAAAAAAATTTTGTTTAACGTTATATATATTTACTGTATACAATATACTATATTCAAATTAAAAGGAAACATTTTTTTTAGATATATGATAAATTAAACATAATTCGTCGGATAAATCTACGGAGAATAGATCAAGAACTTGTGTTCAAAAAGAGATAGTAATGTGAAATAAAAATAAGAAAGACGAAGAAAAACTAATAAGTTGATGTTTTGCGATACTCTGAATAGTTTTTTTCAGTCGGCACGCAGGATTGACGTCGTTTCAAACATACGAAAAAACACTTGTTCAGCACCAAGAGAAAAAAGGACTTTTATTCTGGAAGCGCTGTGTAAACGTATCAGAAAATGAGAATAGTCTTGGTGCTCCGTTTCCTTTGGCCCTGTAAAATAGTGGTAAGATCGTATGTTTACACTCGATTGCCTGTGCTTGTATAATTTATAGATAATATAAATGAATAAATAAATACTTTTCAACGATCACAGCAGGCATCTGAACCAATTGCACGGGGCTCTTGGCGTCCTTTAAAGCTTGCTGCAAGTTTAAAATCTGACCACGCATAACGCTCATTTGTTTATCAAAGTGGTGACGATCGAAACCTTTATCTTGCTACAAAAATAATTTCGCTTTATCACCGATCCGTTACCGAGAACCATCGATACCGTTCAACAGTTGTTTGCTAGCGACTTACTTTAAATAATTGATACAAGTCGTCGCAAAGGTCTTGTACAAAATTTTGATCCGAGAGTTGCGGCAATACAAGCTCTCGTGTTATTTCGCTAAATGGTTGCTTCGCTTGACTCAACCATGCCCAATGATATGGATAGGCTCGCCAAGAGTCGGGATGTTTAAAAGGAAATGCCAAACCATTATCTATTGCGGCGATCTTTACCTCGCCCTGATCCGATTCGTTTTTCCCCACGGTGTTATCGTATTTAATTAGCCAATTGTCATTACCTTTAAAATAACAGGAATGCGTTTACTAATTACGATATCAGCTTGAACCTCCAACAATATTTAGAAATCATTGACTACCTCTGTCCGTATTTCTAATTATATAATCCAAAATCACTAAGCGCTCGAATTGAAGTTGAAATTCCCTACTAAGACGCGGCGACAAGGACTCGTTCTCCCATCGTCTTAACCAATAATCAGCGTCTTTGTAGCCGTCTACAAACACTTGGAAAGAACCAATTTTTGGTGGTAAACTGATACGATTGAAGTGGGAACCCACTGTCGGGAACTGATCCATAATGGCTTGTTTCATGCGAGCTTTTTGACGGTCTAAGCGTGGATAGTTAAATGTTTTACTGACAAGTTTTACTACTCTAGTATTTGGAACTATGCCGAGACCTAGCTTGCGGTCAACTAAACTTGCACCAGCCTCGCTGAGGTATCCTTGATTTGGTATCAAACAACTTCTCCCAAAGCAACAAGGACAACAAAGCTTGTGCATCCATTTTGTCCACTTTGGGTTCAACCTTCCATATGGTTCTTCATCTTTTGGTTTAAATACACCTATTACTTTCTACAAAACAAGAAAGCGATCAGCTATTACCGAACGATGACAACAGGCTGTTTCTTTTCTCTAAATATCGCATAATAATTTAGATTTTCCAAAATATAATACGTTTGAAATTTAAAAAAAAAAAAAACTTATACCTTACCCCTGTGGGATTTTTTACAAAGTAACTTCCGCTCGATCCTTGATATATTCTTTCAGGATAAATTCCATTATCTATCGCGCATTCGGCTTGCCACGCTAATTCAGAGAATTGCGGATCGTCTAAGAGATACAGACAAAAAATATAAACGATACATAAAGAAACCTTATGAAATTAGCGGTAATATCTGAGCGTATTTACGAATTATTACAACGTACCAGGGAAACGATTGAAAGTAACGTCTAGCTCCAACCGACCAAGGAGAGGCTGGCTCTCCCGGTCAATTCCAGGGGAATCAATGGTTAGAGGTTGTTCGTTGCTCAGGTTTGGAACAAACTCAACGTCCGGTATCAGTTCTGGGCACTCGTTGTTCACTGGCAAACAATTTTTAGATGCGATAGAGAGATCTACCAGTGCATCGGTCTCCACCAGAGCAGAAGTGTTAGTGTTATTCTGGCTATGATATTCTCTATAAGGCACATGTAATTGCCGCTGTTCGGAGTCGCTCATCACAACTGAATCTGCTAGTTGATCAGCAGATTCTTTTACTTAACCGATCGTTCACAACAGTAGTTCTATCTACTTCCCCACATTCCTGTACCACCTGTCAATGACGCACGCAATCAAGTCCGTGTATTTGAAGTGTTTTCATTATTACAAACATTGATATAATCATTCCGTCATTAAAACAGACGTTTTTGTCATTTATCGCGATTCCATCAATTCGTTAGAGTAATCATCGAATAAAGAAACGTTTTTCCAACAATTAGAGACACTGTTTAACCAAATAACCGAACTACGATTCGTCATTCCAGCAGACGATATTAACTGATGCTGATAGGATTAACGCCATACTTAATTTTTACTATACCGTTTCATACGCTTATATGTATATGGACTAACAATTTTTCATTTACACAAAGAGCACATGTTAAACTATATACGCATATTTACTTTTATTATTTTCAATAAATATATTCATAAAGTGTACGCCAATAAGATGGCGTAAAGATAATACATTTTATTGAAATTCAAAATTTTTTAAAGCGCACAACGTTACATTTATTAAAAAGACTTGTACATCCCTGCTTCTACAGAGGATTCATAATTATTTACAATATTATATAAATATAATTTATATTTTTCGTAGAAATTTCGTACGAAGATGGTCTAACCAATCAGCGTAAAGAACGTATTATCGAGTCATGAATACGATAACGAAATAATGAAGTAGATAACGTTGTAGTGGTCGTCTTTATCATTAGCCGTGTTAAATGTAAATCTAGCAACAACGCTAGGGGCCGGTCGTATGTTAATCACAACCTGAGCCAGTAAAGCACATCGTAACTATGAATTCAGATGCTTATTTTAAACAAGATCCATCTATGAATCAAACAGAAATAAGATCGTTTCCACGAAGGCTGAACTTGAGAATGTTCTTAAAAAAAATCTTAAGAACAGACCATGAGTCTAAATGGCGTCTTAAGAACACGCTTAAGACGGTCTTGTAAGTAAGACTCGACTATGAATACCACCCTAAATCGGTCTAGTAATAGATTCCCCCACAAACCTCACTAGAGAATGTAACGCACTATATCAGAAGTTTCTACTTAAGATCTTTGGAGTAGGGAATCCCTACTAGGGATGCAATCGGTCCACCTATCCTTCTTTCACTATAGTCAAGTGCATCCCGATTTCTAATTGGTGGAACACGTATCGTTCCAATCAAATCACAGACACACATGCAAAGATACTCTTCTATCAGCTGAATTCTTGACCAATGTTTTCGGACTAAGCAATAAAAGCAATCATGTTCGCAGCAACGGTTAGAAAAAACATGAATTATGACAGCTGAAGTTTCTTCGATTTTAGGTTATTCTCCATGATTTTCATTTTTGTTTTCGTGAATGTCATCCGGTATCATAAACGTGGGTTTGTTACGAGTCAACAAACTTCATCGACACCAATGACTTTCACTGGAAAACATGAAATAGGGTCAGGTTGATCCCCGCGAAGTGGAATTTGGACTTTGTGAGATGGACGAAGGGACGTCAGAATTGCGCTTGAAAGATGAAACGTTTTCAGAACATCTCGATCAAGTTGATTCCAACGTAGTAACAGATGTTTCGCTTACGGAAGGTACGAGTTGAATGTTTCGTTAAAACGTATCCGAAATGTTTGAAAAGTCGTTCGATAGAAACGATCAGTATTGTTATATTAATAGGATTAATATTCCTTATTTTTTAGTTAACGATTCCCTGATCCAACGTGGCACGAAAATTAGCAACGATGTGACGTTCATTCAGGAGAAACAGAAACCAGTCGCTCAAACTGAAACGGATTCAGTATTATTGAACAACGATGAGAAAAACGAATCTCATTCTTCGATAGAAAGAAACAGTATTATTTTGCCTATTAAAAGTTCTACTTCTTTAAACGATTTGTCGGATGGGTTTTTAAATTATCAAGTATCGTCCAACGACGCAGACATTCCGCAAGGGAAGTCTCTTTGCAAATCATCTTCCTACGATGATGTCAGATTACACTTGTCTGTGTCATCCGATTCATTCTTATGCGCGCAGTTAGATAACGTTTCTAACAGTATTAGACAATCTTTGGCATCGGACGGGCAGAAGGAATTAAAAACAGTATGTAACGACGACGAAGAAACGCTTTTCAGTACTAAATTATATATGGACGCTTGTCGAGAAGAATCTTCGGAGGAAAATGTTATCGAGGAGCAGCGTAAAAATTGCGAAGTTCAAAATGTTATCGGAACGGTAGAAAATGTCGTAGAGAGTTCTAACGTGAATGAAAAATTGATGGAAACTGACGACCCGGCAAATGCCTCGAAAAATGTAACAAAGCACGAAAGAGTTTGTAACAATGAAGAACGAAAATTTCAATCCGTTGGAAATACCAGGTCACAGGGCAATGCGACAGCTCGACCGACTTTGGCCGACGACAGCAAACTGGTTAAAATTCCACTGCCAACAAATCCAATTAATATAATGCAGTCCAATGCTCAGTTTTTGAACAAGAGTCGAAACTTCTTAAATTTCATTACGGAAAAGTCGACAAATATAATGGAGAAGGCATTGTTGCCGCAACACTTGACTGTAAAATATAATTCAATGATGAAATCTATAGATAATTATAACGACAGAAGATACGCGGAAGAGTCTTGTAGCGCGAAAGCTTCTTCGACAGAATCAGACTTAATGGAGAAAAGAAATGAATGTACGAGAGAGTGTGAAAATAGAACTACTTTCGCGGCAAATACAAACGGAGAAATGTGCGTCGATGCTGCGAGAAACGATCAGAACAATGATTATGTACAAAATAACACGACGCAGGTTGAAACTCGCTCGATTATTGATCAAAGTAATCAAGGAAACGATACTGAACTCTGCACGGAAGCAAACGGGAACTGTACTGATATCGATTCCGTGATATTACATTTGGAGGGTAACAATAACTCTTCCGAAAATTTTAAACAGAGTTTGCTAGAACACCCGGCGTATCTCACTTTGTTAAAAGACTACGCGGATTTGAAAGCAAAGTATTTGAAATTTCAAGAGAAAGTTGAGTACGTGGAAGAAAGAAATCGAGCGTTAGAAGCAGAAAATAAGGGGGAGATCTATTCCTTGCAAATTGAAACATTGGAGAAAACAATAAACAGGCTTACGTTTGAATTGCACACGTCGTTAGGGACGCAGGAAACGCTTAAAAGGGAATATAATGCCGCTAACAAAGAAAGAGAAAGCATGGTAATGAAATATGCAGTTAGCGAAAAGCAATTGATAGATACTCAAAGGTATCCTAAGATTTTGGCGCAGAAATATGTACACTGCTGTTGATAAATATTACATTTGGTCGAGACGTTGTTAATCTTTGGATTATTCTAATTATAATCTTCTTGGGTTTATTTAAGTAGAAGGTTCAGCCTTTGAAATGATTCCAAGAAGACTATCGTACAGACTTTGTACAGCAGTGTACACAAGTATATTTTACAATTAAGAATATACTAATTTTAATCTTGTACTGCATGGTAATTAGGGCAAGAGAGTATGCGGAGCGCAAAGCAAAAGAAAGTGGAAAACAACAGGAATTGCTTCAGAACAAACTACGAGAAATGCAAACAGAACGAACAAGGATATGTCATATTTTGGACGGGAAATGTCGCGAGGTGACTGAACTCCAGAAAGAGGTTGAAAGATTGAAAGAAGATGTAAATATGAGGGACATCAAGTTGAAATGGACTCAGAACAAACTTAAAACAGAAATGGACTTGCAGAAGGATACTCAGCAAAAATTGGACAAGGCCACAGTAATGATACTTGAATAAAAATATTTTCTCTGGCCAAGGATTGCATGTAAATTATATTATTTTTGTCTTGTTTTTAGACCAGAATCAGCGAGATGAAGGAGGAGTGCGATCAGATACGCAAAGAGACGCAGGAATCGATGCGTCAGTTCCAACAATCGGAGGAGAACAAAGCTTTCACTTTGGACAAACAATTAAAAGAGCAACAGGCACGCCTGATATTAGAAAAACACGTTACAGAAGATAAAGAAATGTTGAGGCTACGATTACAAAAGGAAGTAGAGACGTTGAAGAACAGGCAGCAAGTGTTGATCGAGGAAAACAATACACTTACTCTAAAGATACAGGATGCTGAGAAAAGTCGTTTGAGTCACGAGAGCAATTTGAACAATTTGAAAATGATGGCAGACCAATATCAGAAAGAAACGAAAGAATTGCTCGGTAAAGTGTCCGAGTTGGAAACGTTAAAAGTACAGTTACGACAGTAAGTATTACACTTAAGATCGCGATTACGTCTTTTATTACTTTGTCTGTTTCGTTCAGTAAGGACCAATGCTTGGAGTCGACGGAAGCGGAAATGAGCCAGTTGCGCGCGGCCAACGAGGAACTACAAAGCGATATGTCCGCGTGTCGCGAGAAGGAAGCTGATATGTTAGATTTCACGCAGAAGTTGACGGACAAAAATGTACGACTCCAATCGGAATTCACAGCCATCGAAGCGAAAGTGAAACGTTTGGAAGAAGAGCACGGACCGCTGCACGAACGCATAAGTTATCTGATTAACAAAGTTAAGAAGCTGGAGGAGAGTCTTGCAAAGGAACAGAAAATAAGAAGCGAAGAATGCGAGATCCTCGCCAAACATCTCGCTGAACAGACGCAAGTGGCGCAAAATCTTTCTCAGAAATTGGAGGATAGTCAAGGCGAGAATGCTGTGCTGAAAAGGAAGCAGCAAATAAGTATGAAGGAGATGACGCGAGAACTGCAACAGTGCCGAAAGAAACTAGAAGTTTTCGAAACATCCTCGCCTTACAATTCGCTTGGCGTCGCGTCCAGAACTGGATCAAGTATATCACTTAATACAGGTTTTTTAAGCATAATTATTTTGTCGCTTATTATTCAATTTAAATTTCAGTTACTTTTATACATTTCTTTCTCTTGTTTCTGTTTTATTTATACCTTACGTATGTTTTTAGGAGATACTTTAAATGGTGCCTTATCCGATAATAGTATCAACGGTGACCAAAGCGTCCAATCTATGGAACCTAGTAAACAAACTCTAATAGACCGTATCATAAAGCTGCAAGAGGATAATGCTAAGAAAGCTGAGAAACTAGATTTTTTCGAAGAACATTCCCGATCTCTGGTCGAAGAGTTGCAGAAAAAAACGAAGATTATACAAACGTACATTTTACACGAGAATTCCGGTGCCATGGGTAGCAACGAACGGGACAGATACAAGGTAAATTTTAATTTCAAAACACGAAATGTTGTGCTGGTCGCGCCAAGTATTTAATATCATTAACGATATTATATTTTGCTTTCTATACGCACAAGCATATCAAAAGCAGAAGAAATGCAGTAAGTTTAGCAATAAAAGCTCAAGTCTTATCTCGCGAAGAATTAGATTAGTCTCTAAGTGAAATTTTATGTTAATTGGCTATCCGGTTCTAACGATTGTTTAACCGCAGGCTGAATTAGCAAGACACGGAGGAATAATGGCCTCGGTTTACAACCAACGAGTTTCAGACGATAATATGACGTTGGAATTATCATTAGAAATAAATCAAAAGCTGCAAGCAGTACTCGAAGACGCGCTATTCAAGAATATCACTTTGAAGGTAAAGATTTATTTATAGGGAAGTTCTCGATAATAACAATCAAAGATAATACGAAGTTTTAACATTGTTTTTTGCAGGATAACATCGATACTTTGGGCGATGAAATAGCAAGGTTAACAATGCAAACTCAGCAAAGGAAAATTGCAAATTAAAAAGTATGTCGGAACGATATACTTGTACTTGCCCTGTAAAAATAACGGGATAACACGCGTATGTATTAAAAATGCGAATATAGACATATTATTTAAGAGATTTGTGGTACACAAGATACTAATATCAGTTTTAAACTCGTATATTGAATACACGAAAGAAAGTACATTTTCGTTCGGATGAACGTACTAAATCGTCGCCTCAAGAATGCTATATTTTATTTTAATGTCAATAAAACTATGTATATTTTTCATTCAATAATATTTAGGTATAATTTTATGCCTATCTCTATATAGTTTATTGCTGTAAGCAAATAGTGTTGGTCACTGTATAACCTTGTGCCGAGAGCTTACGTTTAATTTGTTACACTTTTCAAGTGATTTAAGTACGAACACTATGTTTTCTTTTTATACATTCTTTTACGTTGTTTATTTACATTTACGAATTATACTTTTTATCAAAACTGTAAAATAATATACAGATTATATTTCAGTACCGAAAGAACAGGTCTATGGTGTCTAGTCAAAAATTATGCTACTTAAACGGAATAATTTGTTGAATTTGTTGTTTTATCAAAGAGTTAAATGTAACTACAAAATATATTTGCTACGCATCCAAAGTTTACAATAAACATACTTATTTTTTTATATTTAATTACCACCGATTATTTGTTGTTTTAATTAGCAAGTTTGCAGTTTAATTTTAAAGGAACATTCCATGCCATCTATATATGAAAATTTTGTAATATACGAAACAAAAGAATTTCAAGGGTCTTGATGATATTCCATTAATTTCGTGTACATACAACAGATAATTAACAGAAGTATATACCAAAATGTATGAAATTGGAATCTGTGTATATCAACGCGTAATATAAACATTGTAAATCACTGTAAAGAAAAACAAAATTTTATCCTAATATATAAAATATTGCAAAAGAATCTCTGGACTTTGCTAACTCGAAAATTAACATTTTCGTTTTATAAAATTAGTAGAGAATTTTATTTTACTTACCGCGTGGTGTCGTCCGTTTATGGGTAAACGATATTCATCGTTGTTCGATAAAACGAAGTGCGGAGAAATACGAAGAACAAACGTGACGAAGAATGCACGATACTTAAAGACGAATTATTTTATGCAATAATTTTAGTAATTGAAAAGATTTTAATGATATAGGTTTGTTCACACGTTTAATGACAACCTGTACTACATAATATAAAGTATTTGATTATAACAAGACAAAGCAGACCTCGTGACTCTGTGACCTATATTCCTTTTGTATTTTTGTTGTCAGGTAATTATGAAACTATTACACTTTTACTCCATCTAATAAGAGGAACACACCTATTATTCGCAATCGATCTTCGAGTTCTCGTGAGAAATATCGATTTCTCGCTATTTGCCATATATAAGACACATTATTCCACCGGACAATAATTTTGTTCTAAACGTTTTTGTTCGTCGTTCTCTTCTTACTTTTTTTTTCTTTTTTTTTTCTTCACCCTGTATATACATATGCACATCACTTACAATCTTACAAAGCACGTGTACTACCGAAATTTACAATCGAGTGGGCAAATATTACGATAAACTGCGATTTAGTCGAAAGTTAGGTATGTGTACTTTTTACGTATCTCGTGTGTACGTATATGTGCCTGTGTACTTTGTACCGTGTACATGTATGCGTGTGTGTGTATATATATATAGTGTGGATATTGCTTTTTGTACATCGTATCATGGTATACACATGTACATGAACTTACGTCCTAAGTTTCATCTCTTCAGAAGGGATCACCGATTGTTTCGCAATTAGGGCAACCTCAAGCGACGATTTTGTAAAGGTAATACGAATATATAACAACGACGGTTGCTTCGTTTGCCCCGACAATTACTAACAACAGCTATGTGTTTCTTCGACTCTCGTGAGGTATTAAAGTAGTATTAGAACTTTGTGATCGATCCTGATTTCCAATGGCGTCGGTTAATTGCGAGGGGTGAAAAATAAACTTTTTGATCTTGCTATTTCCATTCACGGGTGTAATTTCAAAATAATCTCTTGGCTTCTTGCGATGCTCGATAGGCGCTAGAATTTTCGTTATCGATCCTCCCACCTTCTAGAATTTAGCGAAACCTCGACATCTTGAAAGGTTCGGTACTTTCTACATCCTTCATGGCGTCACTGATAATATTAGCAATTATACAATACTAACCACGTTGCAACAGAAACTCAGACTCCGTCGACATTCCGCATCGAACAAAGATACAACGTTATCGTACTATAAAAATATCGTAACTGCTATCATCGATGCTATTTCTTGCTACATACAATATATTTGATTGCTTGTCATCCTCTTAGTGTCAGATGTTTACGTAAAACCCAAGCAGTATACATTTGCACCGAGATCAACAAATACTTTTTCTTTCTGGTTTTTTTCCCCTCAAAACTTATCGCCTTGACAACGTTCTACGTAAATTCTTTATACAGAGTGCCCCACCGGAAGCAGGACATCTTATTATCTCTTATTTTCGACGGTTCAGACATGATTTGAAAGGTTCCAAACGGGCCGACTACGGTGCAACGTTCTACATTCTGTAGGCTACCGTTAAAAGACCCAAAATGATAGTACTACGCGAGTAATTTTCTACACAGTAAAATCTCGATCGTTCGTGTCGACTGACGGGTTATACTTGCTATGTGAACACAATAAATCTGGCGTTAAAAATATAAAATGTATGGAAATTAAAATATAAGTCCCAACAGTCGAAGAGATAAGCGTATTAACCTCTCAAATACGACGAAATTTCCAATCTCAAGCGATACGATTGAACTTGTAATTAAAATTTTAGCGATATTTGAATTTATTAAATTTGATTCGTAAATATAGAAGTACACGGTTAGGTGTCGACGATTAACAAAGGTTTCTCGATTGCTACATAGTACGGACGTCGTACATGGAAGGTTAAGAGGTTATGCTAGGTTTCTAGTTCGTGTTTCGAACGATTACATTCGTGTTTTTTCTCGACAGGTTCGTGCTTTCTAGAACGAATAATCGAGATTAAACTGTAACGGGCATCCGATCGAAAATGTCTCGTACTGATCGTGCACTTCCGCAGAAAAGTCTCTGAATTGACCAGGGTGAAGCGAATGCGTATACCCTCGTACGACGGAAGCAGGCTTTCGCGCATCGATCCGCTCTTGGGCGTGACACGCTACTCCTTGGCGTTCACCCGATAGAATTGCAAATTTCCATTTCGGCTGCTAACGGGAGAAAAAAATACATAAATCTTTCGGTCGCCGTTGTTCTTCGATCGTCACAGATACAAGGTTGAAACGAGGCTTTCGATTGATAGAATGACATTAACCCTCGCACATCGAACACATCATTTCTACCCATAGAAATTATTTTAGAATCGTAAATGCGTTGCGTCGTTTTCGAATCGCGAAACCTGTACAAACGTGCTCGCAGCGAAAGGGTTAATGGCACGCGTTTCATCGTTCGAAAGCCGAGATGGTGTTCACGGTGTACGCACGTTTAAAACGTACGTACCGAGAAGTTTTTAAGCGACGCCCAGCGTAGCACGGCGCGTCTAATCGTCGGGACGCTACATTTCGAGGCACGTGAATTCACCACCCTCGATGCTCCGCGGTCCTTGAGCCCGTTAATTTTGCCCGGCGAATTGATTTCGACCCCGCCGTTGCTGTAGCCTGTTCGTTCCCGTTGCCCGTTCCTGCGTTAACTCTGCCCAGTTAGATCAAAGTTGCGAACCACCAAGAGGGAGAGAGCCAGGGCAGGTGGAGGGGAACTGTAGAGGAGACACGTAGCCAAAGGGAACACGTTTAGCTACCATGGTTTAAGAGAAGCAGGAAAGAGGCGGGGACGAGAGACGCGGGGAAACGGAAGAGGACCGTAGAGGTCAAAACGAGGCGAAAAAAGAGAAACGTTGCCCGAACAGAATGCAACGGGAACAGCGAAAACGCGAGGACAAAAAATGAAAGCGTGGAGGACAATGGGAAACGTTGGAGGGGAACCAGGGAGGGGGGGAATCGAGGGGAATAATGCTTAACGGTGAAAAGACTAGAAAAGGAAAGCGAGGTTGGCGGAATTTGACAGGTTAGAACAGATGGAGAAGAAACGTCCGAGTATAGGGAACACCGAAAGCGAAAGATAAAACGTAAACAGAAACGGAGAAACAGCGGAACGAAGGAACGAGAAACGCGAATAGAAACGAAGGAACCTAACCTACGGACGGGGAAGCAGAGCGAGAGACACAGAGAACAGGGTGGAAGAGGGTTTATGTTCTAAAGCCCACGTCCCACCCCCCTATAAATTCTAGCAGCCAGAGGGGTTTCCATTAAAGAGGAGCTGTCAGCGCGACAGTGTATCTGTCGAGCATATTAAAGGGGATAGGGAGTTTCGAGTGTGCCACGGATCCCGAGATATGGGCATATCTCGCTTTAAAGCGGCTCGAATTCTATCGCGTCGGTCAGACCCTCGCGGATTACCCCCATCTTTTGTACGCGATTTCTCCTCGTTCTCTTTTTTCTACTTTCTTTCTTCCCCCCCTTTTCTCCCATTCCTCTTGTGACCCTCGTTGCGAGCACCGAGGGTGTCGAGAGCACATCGGGGATCCTGTCGATCGGAATAGCATCGTCGTCGCAAATTAGAGGCTAACTCCCTTTAGTCGTGGCGCGCTGTATTACGGGATTCTGCGACACGATCGAGAGGGGCCCCCCGTTACCACGGCAGCGGATCGATCGATAATGTCGCGATCGATAATGAGTTACCGCGGTGCTCGACCGTGTTCAATGGAATATGAGTAAGCGATGTGATTTGGAACGCCTCGCGTCTACAAAACGGCGGAAAACTCGAATTACGTCGGATCCGATTCGAAGCCTCGAGAGTCTTGAAAACCTTCGATGTATTTGTGGTAACCGTAACTTTTCACATTTTCTTTGTGACAATGAATTTGTGTTGAACATTCGTTGACTAAACGATTTAAGATTTCCAAGACGATCGAGACTTTCGAGAATTTCGTGACAGAATCATTTTCAAACGACTTCGAATCGATGTTGCGTCGCGCAATAAGATTCGAAGTTCTCGCCGCTAAATACGAGAACCAACGAAAACGAACCCACGCGAATTTAGCCTACCGATGAGTCGATAAAGCTTGGTCCCGGCGCTCGCTAACTAAAACATGAAACGAATAGGGAGCATGTCGACTACAAACACGACGCGACGTTGCACGCTCGTGTAGCGTCGACCAAAACATGCAGAAAGGAAACGCGCTCAATTGCGTCTCTACATCACGCGTGTTCTGTGTATCGACCGGGGCTTCGTACACTCCGGAGAGAGAGAGAGCAAAAAAAAAAAATAAAAAAATAAAAAGAGGATCTGATCGTTTGCAAGCCGCGTGTATACACGTAGCGAGCACACGGTTGACAAAATCGATTACGATCGCGGTTTAACGATTCATGGAAACTGCACGAGACGTTAAGGACGAGCCGACAAATGAAGATGAACTGAAAAGAAATTCTGTGTGTAACGTGAAAAAAAATCATGTAATCTGAGAATAATAATGATTGATAATATTTCATTAATAATAATAATAATAATCGTGATAATATTAATAATAGCGATAAAAATAATAATAAGGATAATGAGAATAATCGCAGCGGTAGTAGTAGTAGTAGTAGCAGTAGTAGCAGTAGTGTCGGTATTAATAATATATAATGTTTGGCATCGTTATCTTCGCGTCTGTACAATGGTTTGCTTTCCACGGAGACGCGCATCGATGTTTTGCCATTGTTCGTTTCAAAACGATCGAAACGTCTCCCCGGTACACAGAAACTCGTATCGTTTTGGTGGTTAACAAAGTGTTCCCGATATTAGCGATTACAATCTAATTATTGATAAACTTAATGAACCAATGTCATCGTACGTTAATAATAACATAATAATAATGGTAATGATACAATAATAATAATAACAACAATAACTAACAAACAAATTAAATATCGTAATACAACTAAAAAACGTTAAATCGAGCGTGTATAAAAAAACGTCCAACGCATTTCCGGTATATTAACGAAAATAGTGGTATCAGCAGCAGCAGCAGCAGCGGCGGTGGCAGCGACACAAATTCATACTACAAAGTAGAAAATCGCTAGAGAAGTTGGCTGCCGAGTACACAGGCGTCTACGATCCCGACGACATTAACGCTAATTTAATTTTTTCCCCTAACGGCATCAACCTACGTTGGCCACGCCGACGAGAGAGAGAGGAAAATAAAAAGAACAGATAAACAATTGGGGAGGACAAAACCATGTAGTACAAGGTTTCAGCAACTGCGTTTCACCATTTTTCAAGTAACGCGATAATTCGACGGAGAAAAGTTACATGGAAACCGTTCTCGGTTTTCGATATTTCGCGGAACAGAAGAGCTTGGATGCGAACCGTTTGTTTCACGTATCTCGTTCACGCTTACGACCAAAAACAATGCACGTTATTTTATATATATATATATATATGTATCGTAAAAAAAATCGAGGTCGCGTGTCTTAAATGGGAACGCGTTTCTTTCTCTTGGCGTAGTAATTGCAAGGTGACCTTGACAAGAAGAACAAATCGAAAACCGATGAGAATCCTGTAACTCCCCGACGAATTATGGCTGTCCCGAAATGTACGCTCGTGGACGTCTCGTAACCGCAAGACGTTCTCTCGCGTCCTAATTTTCGCTCTGTTCGCCGATCCTTTCCACTATGGCCGTTCGTTTCGAAACGTTTCGTCTCGGGTGGCGGAGATAACGGTGCACGACTTCGACGCAGGTCCGCCAACATAGACAACGCTGAGCAAAAAAAAAAAAAAAGTCACCGCGATAAGAAAGCACCGCTCCGGCTATGGGGAATACTGTTTACCGTTTCTTTATTTTCTTCGCGCGCGAGCGAACGAATCGCGTACGTAAAACTAATGGCGATAGGGGGGCGGAGCTTGTACTTGTGTGCGTCGGGTGAAACCGGAGACGGGCGAAGCTTCGTTCGTTCGTTCAACGTGAAATACTTCACTCGACGATTCGAATTTGAATTCCTATGCTGTTCGAAATTTCGCCCGTCTTCGGAACAAAGCGATCCAGCCGAGAATCGGTGCTTCTTTATCGCGGTCTCGAAACACACACTTCGACGTCCCTATTGCTTCCACGCTATTGTTTCTGTCTCGCGAACCGTGTTTGATTTATTGCTGTTGCCCAGACATTTCGAAATTTACATCGCCGACAAACTACGGATAAAAATTTCAAACGAAAAACCACGCTTCTCAGGCCCGAAATTGTTACGCTCGTCCCGATTCAGGGCGTGTTCAACGACTAATTACACTGGGCTTCGTCCGAGCGATCAATTCTAGTCTCTGTTACACGGAATTAAAATGTTGGCTCTAGTTTTTCTAACAACGCAAATTGAAGGTGGAAATTTTTTAACAGAAGAGTATTTATAATTTTTAACAAATTTAAATAATGCCTTACATTTTAGAAACCAGAGCCAAATAAGTCTTTACCCCCTGTTATCTCCAGCAGATAAATAAATAGGAAGATAGCTCTAATCGCGAAGACTGGAAACTCAACAAATTTTATTCCACCGTCGGAGAGACTCGTATGAAATAATTTTCCGACTGTTTTTCCACGCACGCTCGGTGAAAGCTTAAAGGTCGAAAGACCTGGCCAAGGTATCATCGTTATTTTAGCAAGGCCTTTATACGTTTGGCGCGTCCGCGTTGTTCGTCGGGGCTTTTAGAAGATGAATACTTCAGCAACGGCCTTCGATGTGCATAAATCAGTTTAACGCGCAGCTGGCCTCAACGTCGCGGCGCCGCGCCACGACAGCCAAGTTAACGCGCAAGTTCAATATTATACTTGCGGGGCAACCACCTTTTCCTCCGCCCCGAGTGATCGAAAATCAAACACACTTTCGCGTCGTCTCGGTTAGTTGGTTAAATTGCGTGTATATACGTGCATACGTATATTGCGTATGTGTGTACAGTGGTGTATACAAACGGATACACGGTTACTTTCCTATGTACAAATTACACGGGGCTTATCTTTTTACGTCTAGAAGCAACTCGCGCGAACTCACACGTCGGAACAATTAGTTTTGGTACTGTTTTAGCGCGATCGGTTCCTCGAACGTATGATTCGGGGGGAAAAACGACCGATTTCTGTGGTCGTGGCGCGGTTCGTTGCGCGAGAACGGGAACGTTCCAGGAATCGATCGCGTTTTTTCTGCTGCGACTGGTACACTAGGCTTCGGGGTGTGCTTAAGGTACGGCGTTACGGGTAAATTATGCTACCTTAGTCTAAACGTATCGAGGGACGGAGCGTTGGATGAGCGTGAAGGTCACCCGAGCCGAAAATCGACATTTTCGAACGTAGAAGACAGACTATCGTTTTTTACGCGATTCGAATTTTTTTTTTTCATTCTGTTCGATGCTTACACGACGGATTGACCGCGTTGCGGGTGGCTTCGTCGAGGGTCTGACGAAGCATCGATACTACGTCGTCTATCGTTGTACAGCACTATCTAGTAGAATACAGTATCATAGATCGTCGTACGTTAATCATATAATATCATGTGCTACGCATATATCGTCGTATAGTATCGTACTTCATCATATACAATAGTCGGAACCATACGTTACTATATACTACCATACAATATCGTGCTATAATATCGTTGCGTCACGAGACTCGCGATGAAACCAACTGCAACGTTGATAAAATTATTGGTAGATCCAATTAAACATTGGAACGATTTGCCAAAAGGTCACATATTTGCGCCCGTAAGCCCTAAATAGTATTAGTCGCCGTCTTAGGTAATCGAAGACCCGAGAAAGATGTGTATGAATTGTAAAACCAACAACGGGCATCGACGATCTCGAAGCAATTCGCTTCCTCCTCGACGACTTAAAAATCAATTTTCACATCATTCGCTCAAGAACGCCGTTACATTTCACCCGGAAACGGTTTTAGTAAAAAAGAAAATGGTCACGATTTGTCGTTGTTTGGACACCGACGATGCTCGTGTCGATCTTCTTCGGTATTGGCTCCATCCGATCGAACGCTCGTCCCTTTCGACAAAACTCTCTCTTTCACTCTGTCGTGGACTTAAGCTAGTAAAAAATGAGCCTTTTCCTTATTTCTCCGCCCGAGTCTAAACGCGACAAAAAGGGCGAGCGTGCGAGACGCGTGGACACGATGGAAAAATTGTGATATGTGTTCTCTTACGCATCTAGGAGAAACCGGCACTCTTCGATGCCGTTTCTCTTGCCCTCCTTCACGCATACACACCCGCATGCATACACACATACACACATATATGAGTTTTTGATATTGTGTTAGATAACGATCCGAGTTGTACGCCGTGTTTGGCTGCGTTTGCAGTTAAGCGAACGACGCGACATTCTTCGTGTGGAAAGGCAATCTGACCGAAACAAAATGGTCGAACATGGCTCCTGGTACCTCTCTCGCGCGCACAGTACATTTCATTCCTCGTTCAATCTTTACTCGATGCAATTTTACTGTCTCTCTTCTTGCAATCAAACAGGGATCCACCCTGTTCTTTATTTTTCTTGTAACAACCGAGGATTAACGCTCATTTAGGATACGTATAAATACGTATTTTTTACAGTAACGGAGGTGGCAAGTATCCCTAACGCAGATGCAAGAAGCGAGGCAGTATCGTTTACTTCTGGTAGCCTCTGTTCGACCCGTTCAATGGGTAACTCGCATTATCTGACGCTTATCGTGGAAACGCAGCTTCAGACCCGTACGTCGCTATTTAAATGTACATGTTTTTACGTATATGTGGTTGCACGGACGAGTCTCGCTTTCAAGTAAATCGCTGTGCGCCATGTCAACCTGTTATAGATCGATGGCTGGATCGTGAGATCCTCCAAGTGGAACGCTCGTGTGCTAGATACTACTGACAACTAATAATCTAATAGATGCAACCAATGACGGATCTGCAAGAGTTCGAGGGGGGCGGGGGGTACTAATACGATAGTTCGAAAGCCCCACCTTTAGAAATTCTAAACGAAAACATAGACATTGAAGTTTCAAACGATTCGGACAATACATTTTTGTCCGCCATTGGATACAACGTTAAACTATATAATAAGCGGTAAAAATATAGAAAATCAAACGACTATATTCCCTATGATCGGGGTTCTACCTGGAGTATCCTCACGAAAATTGTGGAATGAAAACTTCAAATTCGAAACTCTGCAAGTCCTGACACGGAACTTACTTTGTGTCCGCGCTTCTCTGGCAAGAGCACGCAGACACTCACAGTTTATACAATGTTGTTGTAATTTATGCAGAGCTTCTGGACGCTCGAAAATAACGTTATCGGACTCGTTGGGTTTCGAACTTCGTATCTTCGATGAGTTTCTAAGTTACACAGGTGGGCACGGCGATAACGCGACATTTTCTGGCCACGTAGTCGCGTGGTTTTGCTTTTGTGCTCCTATACAGATTCCCGTTATTACGTCGTGGCAAACGAATTTCCAAACATTCGTCCACGGAGCTGCTCGAGCAAACAAACAGAAGATATTCGTTAATAAAATAATCGTTATACGAATTGCAAAGTATTGTTTTCTTCAATCGTTCGAATGTGTTGCGTCGCTCGAACAGCTCCGTCTCGATGATCGCACAAGATCCGAGTTGCGCGTATTTTCCCTTTAAACTTTTCGCTCGAGCTCTCCGTTTCCCGACACTCGGTCAGTACAGTAAAGGCACGCAATAAGAAATGGAAGGATAGATCAAGGAGGTACAAACATGACCATACATCGTCACGCTCGTTTTTTTCCCCATTCGATTACGTAAAATCGTACCACCTTTTCTGTGCACAATCTCTTTCTCAACGAGGAACCACGCGATTTTTCCATCGTTTATCAGCCCCGACTAACGCAAAACCTTGCGAAACAATTCAATTTCACGCGTTCGATCGTAAGTCTTGCTCCGTATGAGAAAGTGTTTTCAAAGCGACAAACCGATAAATTGAGATTGAGAAACGAAGTTCTCGCGAACTAAATAAGATTAAGATTCTTTGTCAGAAGGGTGCTCTCTTTTCATAGAATTTCTCCCCAAAAAAATTTAATAACAAATTTGCTAATCGGGCGGCGACTTGGAAGCATTTCCTGATCAACAAAAATCGTTGAAAACGCGTCACTTTCGGACGAAGGAACCAAAAGAGCGAAAAATCCTATATATTTCTCTCCACTTTCCACGTGGCGTTGTCCATTTTACATAACGTATACTCCGCAGGGACCTTTCTAAATATGTATCTTTTTTAAACCCTTAATCCGTAACCGTTAATTTAAATATTGAATAAATTCCAAAATCGCGGTCTGCTCGTTTCCACTGTCCGGCGGTTTTGTTCTCCCCACCCCCTTCTCACTCTCCTTTCGATCATTTTCTTTTTTCTTTTTCTTTTTTTTGGTTTTCTTAGCGTACGTACGTTTATTGTTTATGAGATGTGTGTATAAAAAAATATGAATCGTTTCATTTCATCTATTAGAGGTAGATACGCAGGAAACAGAAGCAGTATTCTTATCTTTCATTCTTACATTTCATTATTTTGTTGCTTTTATTCAGTTTTGTATCTTTATTACGTAGCTTTTTTTTAATGCGTAATAACTATTGCTGATGAGCTTGATCTCTGTCTCTCTCTCTCTCTCTCTCGCTCTCTCTCTCGCTCTCTCTCTCACGATCCGAACTTGAATTTGATCCGTTGGTTTCGTCTTCTTTGTCTACGTTTCTACGGATACCGTGCGATCGCGTTAAGTAACGGTTCAAAAACTTATCTACCCTATTGTTCATTCCCGGTAAACGACGAAGCTGAGAAAAAGAAAACAAAACAGAAAACAAGTAACCCACGGAATCATAGCGTCGGTGGAACGAAACATCCTCGTAAACGGACCTCGTGATGCCAGACAACTTCACAAAACATTCGCTGAACCGCCGACGAAACAAACCAACAACGTTTGCTCGACCCATTTATAGCACCCAACGCAGCTATAGCAAAAAAAAAACTTACATACAAATGTTCGACGTAACAAACTATGATCATCCGGTCTAGACGAAAATACACGAAAAGCCTGTTTTACACTCGTTTAGGAAGTTCCAACCTTTTTATATCGTTCTTTAACCCGACGACATAACGCGCGTTGTTCTCCTTTATCGCGAGAAAGAAAATTAAAAAAAAAGAAGAAGAAGAAGAAATTTACACACTACATTTGGTTAAGCGCCCAAACGAATTACCATTAGGATCGGTTGTATGTCGCACACGTATACATATAGGACTGTATATATATAGGAGTGTTTATACAAAGTTGTATGTACAATTCGGTAGGATTGAAAGACAACTATATAATATATAATAATAATAATAATAATAATAATAATAAAAACTTGGAACGTTAATGGAAAGTGGCAATAGTAATCGCGTATACAGGTAATTATGTACACAAACCCGAGATACTATATATAAAAAAGTATAGCAACACAAACAACAAACGAGCGTTAGATTCCGTAAATTCGTAAGCGCCTACGTGAAACAAAAAACAAACGAACGGGACGAAGTCAGAATCCGGATTGCTGACGTGAAATGCGTAAATGGTGGCTTTAAATATCTTCCTCGGACGCCTTCTTTCTTCGTTCCCCTCGAATCTCGGTTGATTGCTTATTAACGTTAACGCATACACACTATCTCGCTCTCTTACTCTCTCTTTCTCACAGACTTTTCTATTCCTCGGAGAAAACAATGGAATTAAACGCAGCAACGTTATCCGCCTTGTACAAATTCTTTTCTTTTTTTTTGCATGCTGTTAATTTAAAATCGTGTACCTTTATTTATCGTTACGGTCCTTTTCTCGGCACCAGACATGATCTCATACCCTGACTGTATTTTGTTGTTGTTCTTGTTTCTCTGTTGCTTCTTTCCCGATTCCTCGTCGACGCGCAGACAGACGACAGGGGTAGCCGTTCTTCGTGAACGATGGCGGGGGAGGGGAGGGGAGATCGGATCGTTGACGAGAACGGACATACACGCTTCTCCGGTCGGTTCAGCTCGGCTAGAGAAAAGGCGCGAAACGCTTATCAACAGAAATTTGCACAAACCAGCAGCGTGACGGCTGGAAGCTCCGTGCGAAGTAGCGTCCCTGAGACCCGCGACAGTTGGCGCTAGTGCACTTGAGCAGCTCGGCGTCAGTCGCTACCGGTACCGCTATTCCCAAAGTATTCGCCAGCGTCCCCGCGGCATATTGGGCACGTTCTGTTCGACTGAAAATGATTAAAACCAACAATCATTCGCCTGAAACACTCAACGAAACGCGAGTCCCTCCGTCAACCTTCTAATTCCTCAGAACTACCCGAGGAGACCAAAGACTTATACAGACATATAAACTATTGGCATTTTTCAGTCATATCTCCGTAACGATACATTTACCGTAATTTACAATTTTTAAGACGTTTTTGAACAGAGACATAAAAGGGGTGTTACCTCTTTTACCAATATCATGTTTGATAAAATCATACCAAAACCGAGTACCGAAAAATCGCTGTAACGTTTAAAGAAAAATAATTAATAACAATGTTTTGGATTTCGGGTTTACTCGTTGACTATACACGACAGTTCTAGAAAATAATCTATTCCATAATGACGTTTCTCCGGCAGCTAAGTCTCTTAATTTGACGGTTGGCCAATGGATTACGGGTACGTTTGTCGCTTACTTTGAGCCATTTGTCGATGCACTTCGAATGAAACTCGTGGGAGCAGGGTAGAACGCGCAGCGACTGCAGTGCCTCGAAGTCGCACATGCAGACCACGCAGTTCGTCTGGTCTCCCTGATGCGTCTCGGCGTTGAATTTATACGAAGGCAGTTGCTCGACTTCGGCACGCGTCAGCCCGCGTGGTTTCGCCTCGCCCAATCTCTCCGCCAAAGACAGCAGAGCCTCGTAATTCTCGGTGGCCGAATCGGGCGACGACAGCTCCGCTTGGCTGTACGGGGATAATGGCGGGTTGCTGAACATCGCTCTGCGAATTGCAAAATTTCGTTGGTTTACGCAACTACCAGACGCTTGGAACTACGTCGTCTCGTATTCGCGACGCTTACAAGAAGTGTAGCAACAATCCTGGATAGGTTGTCGGTATCGGTGCCGGGACTCTCCATCTGTTCGACCTTGGCCGTCTGAGCGTGTGAACGTTGGACGCCGCGCGTCGAGTTCTGGCCTGCATCATCTCCAATTGGTTGTTCCTGGTCTCTGATAAGAATATGGGAGGTGGTGTCGTGACTTGAGTGAGAGCTGGCGGCGAGTACGAGTGCGGTAACGGTAATGGGGCACCCGCGGCAGCCCCGACTCTGTGGTGGTGATGGGATTCGATTAACTCTAATTCAACTTCTCGCTGTAACAGAAAAAGCGGAGGTTGATCATCGAGCTAGAATACAGGGAGAGTATACCCATATTTGGGCGACGATTGAGCTTTTGTAGAGGCACCATCGCTAGGGATGTTTATAGTTTTTAAGACCATGAAGATTCAATAAAGCTTAGAATATATCTTGAATGTCTCGAGTCTTGGAGGTCTTGATAAAAATATTGAACTCAGGATTTCCTCAAATTTGAATAGGGCGTTTCTTCTCGTACCTGCTGTGAGAGCTGATGGTGTGCCGTGTAATGAGTAGTATGGACGGGCGGCGGAGGCGCGTGGGCGTGATGAAGAGCCGCGACAGGACCACCGGCTGGCGTTGGATATCCTCTGGATGCAGCGCCGACTATCGAACCAACTAGACTGTGACCCGGATGGGTCGAATGAGTCGGTGAATAGTGACTGTGATGTGTGACCTGAAGAAACAGACTCATTTATCGCGTCGCGTCGAAACTCCAACGGGAACGCGCGCATCGGAATGATTTTCTAGTTGAAATGCAGTCGAACTAGATTACAACAAACACCGGGAGGCAAATATTTACCCGATACTATCATTACAAATTAACTCAAAGTTCTAACAGAATATATTGAATGAAAATCGTTGAATTGCGCCATGTGGTTTCTTAGATGACCAGAACACGCCTACCATTTCCATTACAAAATATTTTTACTCTTCCTTTTGCTCGTGTCCTTTTTTTCATTATCGATTATGATTTTTCACGGAACAGTGGCGTTCCGCGGAGCAAAGTTCTGCGAATGCCGCAGCGTGGAATCGTTCGATCGCATCGGGAGGAACGAGTATTTACCTGACACGAGTGCGCGAACGGGTGCGCTGAGGGCGGCGTGTATATGCTGTGCAGCTGACAAGGAATTCTGTAGCCCGTCGGAGGAGGATGCCAAAGCGGTTCCCCGCTAACGGCAACACCCAAACCGGAAACACCGACTTGTCCCACGTCGACGACCACGGGGCCGTTCGCCCCTTGGGCGGGATGATGCCCGGTGCCCGCTGGATGATGGGGATGCGTCTGATGCGCGTTATGGATGTTGTGGTGGGAGTTGTGTAGATTGTGATGGGAGCTGTGAATGTTGTGGTGAGAACCGTGGATCTCGTGATGAGAGCTGTGAATCGTCGGATGGGAATTGTGCCCGGGCAGGAAGGGATGAGACAGCCCGAAAGAATCCGTGTAACGCTGATAACGACTCCTGATGGTCGGGCTGCCGCGTGTGGACATATGATTGCGGGGCGATCGTCTTTGAGGCGCCGGTGAGAACTCCCACGGCGGAGGCGTCGGCAGGGATGGCAGAGACGATATAGACGGTAGAGTCGTATGCAACGACGGCGTGGGCGACGGTGGTGTCGTCTCCCGTACTTCTATCCCAGAAACGGCGCCGTTGCGCGATATTCGACGACGTTTCCTGGATGGAGACTCGCTCTGCAACAGAATTTACTCTTAATTCCCGTTTAACCAAACCAACCCCCAACGCAGGATCAATGTTTTGGGCGTTCTTTCATCGACCAATATTTACTATTTAAAAGAAACTTTTGTAGTACAATTTCTTGCCAACAGTCTTCCAAATCTTGAAATATGAAGTTTCAAACATAAGGAAACTATGTGATTTTTATAAAATATATTATGGAAATTTTACAGTCGACTCATAGTGTTATAACTTGATAGTGTAATACTTAATAGCGGTTAATTTCAATTGTAATTGAATAAAAATTTTTTTAATTGCAATTAAACAATAAATTACTCGATACAATTAATTCTGTCCGTTTGCAATTGACAATTAAAATTGTAATTAATAATTGAAAATTTGAGACTGCCTGTAAATTGAATATATCGATTTCGGTTACGGTTCTAATATCGGTTTTCGTACGTGTTGCTAGTGTGGACTATATCGGTTCTGGTGCATGTTACTCGTGCGATGTACGCTCATTAAATTTATCACGGATTTGTACCTTTTCTACGTGACTTGAAACAGCGTAAATTTCTTACGGATTTATGAATTTTATAAAAAATTATAAATTTTATAAATGTACACGTGACAAAGTTAACGTTAACGGAAATAGAATTTACCTTTCTGCCATCGTCTTGACTAGGCTGTCTATAATATGGCGGCGACGGCTGAATTTGTACAGGACTCAGAGGTAGCTGATTTGTGGCTGAAAAACGTGTCGTTACTTTCAGGAGGATCGCAACGAGGGGACGCGTACAAGTAGCAAAGATCGATAGACGGTTTCGAAACTCCGAATATACCTTGAGAACTTCTACGGTACTCCATATCGACGCCGCTAGCTCCGAGGCCTGGACTCATGTTCAATAATGGACCACGCATCGCGTTCTCCTGCGAGAATGTATAAATTTTTGAAAAACCTCAATCGACGGAACGCGTCGTTTCCTTGACGAGGTAAATAAAGAAATAAAGAGAGCAGGCGTGATAAAATGCTTACTTGACCGCAGATGTTGATATGCAATGGCGGAGAATTGGCCGGTGGGCCCACAGACTCTTGTGGAAAATGTGCCGGTGGTCCTCTTGATTGTGGACTGTGCTGCGGGGGCGGTTTATACCCCACGCTGGATCCGCCTACGTTCCCGTGATACGAAACTTCCTTACCGTTTGGTCCAGAAGACGTACCAACCCCGGGACAATCCCTAAACGTGTACAAAACCATCGAATTGTTAATAATGGTACCACACGGTATCCCAAATTATGTTACGGTAAAAGTAACTAGCGCCTTCTTCGCAAAATCGACGATAAACGTTAATTGCGTAATTGAAAACGTTCCTAACCTAAACCCTTTAGATCTACAATTTTGTTTTGGAATCTCAGTCCAACGACTACGCTAAAAATCGTAGATTTAATTTCGAAAGAAATCTAAACATCTCGTCACACAATTATTTATATTTTTATAAAATTACAATTACCAGTTGAGGTTAGTTATCGTTTCACGTAACAGCGTATGACTGTAGAGAATGGTGCAAGGCGCCAAATTTTTTAAGTACTTTTACCATAACTTAATCCGCACGAAGGTCTACTTATACTATCGACGAGACGTGCACGAGCCGAGCAGAACGACTGCGTACGTTTAATTCTTCTTTAATCTCTTTCCGTATCTTCGTTTCGTACTTAGGCCTCGTGTACTGTAAGCGTGATAGATCGGAAAGAACATTCTTTTCTCTTAGGCATTCGATCGGAGATATATCCTTACATACACATAACAGTCATTTTGGATGTCTCTGACAACATATTTCGACGTGATTAAAATCGATGCTGAAGGACTCTGTCGAATAATTACCGAAACAAGTCGTTTGGCTCGTGCACGGTTCCATCGGTAAGTACAAATGGTCCTCGATACGAAAAAAACGTTTCTTCTCTGAATTCGATCTACGCCAGCTTTTAACCTCCGACGTGTATCGATCTATTCGAGAATTAGTGTTCCGAGTACCGGTTTAACGGCTCGACGATACCGGTAGAACTGTTAGCAATAAACACACCTTTACGAACCGCGGTCTTATACAGTGTAATTATCATCGCGGCGACGACATTTCTGTTCTCTTATCCTTAACTCGTTACTAAATCCGAACGTGCGATAAAGCATTCCGTTGGATTAGATACCGTGTCACGAAGCGAGGCACAGTATTATTTCTAGCTTCGCGCAGCTGAATAAATGTGGCCGTCGTTATGACGAGGCCCTGTCGTGTTTACACGAATCATTCACGATACAATAAATAGATGCGTACGAAAAAACTCTATTGACGGGACTGTCGGTAATCGATCGGTAACGCGTATCGTGTTTTTAACGTTGACGTCTCGGTCGGTAAGGAAGGGTCTCTTTCACGCGAGAAACAATCAAATATACGGAACAATCAGAAATATATAGACGTAGAAGGAAAAAATTGTGTGTACTCATTCAAAAACATATTTATGCGATTGGAATGCTAAATAAGATAACCAGTGAAGAAACGTGTAAACATGGTACGCACAGAACAGAGAGAATAGGGGGGAATAAAGAACAGAACAAACGTTCAAGCATTCGTGAATAAGAAAATCATAGTTACTCTGTTAACGAATATACTAAAGGTTGTTATTGATTTCAGTCGTACCTTCAAGGTCGCGTGCTGTATGGTGTCTCATGCAGCAATGACTCGCTTGACAATAAATTTGAAATTTACATTCCGCGGATGATCGTCATCGAACACACGAATACAATATTTTTCTTTTTTCGCTCTGTATTTACTGTGCCATTCGTGAATATGTCTTCGTGTGTATTGTTCTATTCTATTTACAACGTGATCGTATGTACAGATACACTTTCACAAACGTGTCGCCTTACGAGCAAGCTAAACGTTGCGTCTCACATGCAAATGTATCGCAAATGCGTCGCCTATCTATGTATCGCGTGAACATAGACGACGGTCAAATTTTCAACGCGACCAGCAAGACTCGTGACGCGAGTTTCGCGCGCGTTTCCGGTGACGAAACACGCTGACGGCAACGGTACGAGGATTCGGCGAACAAAAATCGAAGGAAGCGAACGCGAGGTTTTTTTTAACGATGCGACGAACACGACCGAGCACAACAAGCGCGGAAACAAAAGTATACGGCATCTGCACGCGCAGCGTCGTAACGTGTGCATCGCAAGGGCACCCCTGCGCGCGTTTATTATCGTCGATTAGAATCGTCGACTCTTCAATGTCGGTTACTCTGAAAATTAAATACACACTTGCTAGGCTGTACGCGTCACTTAACAGAATACTTTCGCGCCGACCGTTCGCCCTCGCTTCTCCACCGAGCGACACGCTCGCGTCCGATCGTTTCTCTATTCGTCGAATTTTACGCGGCCATGGCGAAAGAGAACCCATCTTCGGATTTCTTAGTCGACCGTGTATCGCGCCCGCACGTTACGAAATTGCATGACAATGCGTACAAAAAGGAAAGAAAAGAAAACCGAATGATAATTATTCGCCTCATTACGCGATAATAGATCGCAACACCTCCGATGACGGGACTGCCGCAGTATTTATATGCAAGCCAATATATAGAGCATCGTCAGCTACGACGTTAACCAATCGCACAACTGTAACGAAATATGTCGAAATACGAACGATCTCGCGTCAAAACGTCGAGGTGAACAATTTATCGTCACCGATTTCTCTCGAATTTACAGTACTCGTCGATAATCTCGAAAAAAGTTAAGTACTCTTTCAACTGACAGCGTAAAATTTGGAATACTTTACTTTCTCGAGGGTACCGATAAGAACAGAAAATTTGGGGAAAAATGTAGATTCACGGAACTGAGCTAGTCTCGAGGCGAAGGAGTTGCAGAAAAAGAAGGAAAAAAAAAAAACTTGATCGAAATTCGCGAAACAGACGAATAGTGCACGCAATCGTTATGTACCCATTATGGAAGCGTAGTGGACAACACTGTCGATACGGGTATTCCTTGTTGCCGGTGTACTGCTGAGGTATTTGGGCGTGTTGAGGGTGTTGATTATGAAGGTGCCATCCACCGCGGGCGTGAGGTGGCGCTGGGGGGCGCAAATGAGGCCCTGCCGGGGCACCGCCGTTAACTACGGCCCTGTAACGTTCCTGCATGCCCAAGCCGCGATGCTGATGACTCCCAGGGCCGTTCATTCCCTCCCCCTCGTTCTGTCTCTTTCGATCCTATTCTACCCTTCCTTCCACTTCTATCCCTTTTACCTTCTCTCTCACAGCACCTGCACGTATATAACTTCTTCTCTTTTCCTCGTTCGTGTCGTTGTCGAATAGCAGAAACGGCGAGGTTAACCTCACCGTGCAATTTCGCTCGGCTCGTATTTTCTCTAGCCCCTGTTTACGTGCACGCCCCGCGCAAAGTCCTCCGAGGTATCGAACCTGGCGAGATATTCGAACAACGTTACGACGACGGCGAGAAGGGAAGGTTGGTTAGATGATTTCAGGAGATTTCAACCTCCTGCCGCTCTTTCGAAATGTCGAAAGAACATCCGAGCTCGCCGCCATATTGCATGTGTTGCTCGAAACGCCAGGAACGGCTCCGACGATCTCGAAGGCCCCGCGCCTTTTTTTTCTTTATCTTTTAGAAATTACATTGTTTCTCCGCGTACGAGTAAAATTTGAAATTTTAGCTTGTATTGTTATTTAACGAACGTTTTCAGAGTCTGACGATTTTCATCGTAAAATCGACGGCACGAACAGTATTTTTCAGGCAAACATACCATGCAGTGCGAGGTGACAATTATGTAAAAATTAAAAGTAGAACATTTGCTTGTAAGAACAATTGAACTCGGATACTTTTTAAATCGATTCAAACAATACCTTTATCTTTTTAAATGTTTTCACGTTGTGGCTTTTATCACTATTATGGCAACAACGTGACAATTATGGGTTTAAAAGTAATTAAATATTATATAACACTCAATTCTATATAGATAACTAAAAAACTGCTACACTGTTACGACAATTTACTGCCACGCAAAAACGTACTTTCGAGCTTCGAGGGGCTTTCGCTCGAGTTAACCTCAAAATACATATTAGATACTATTTACAAGGACTGAGCAACTATACGTGTCAAGGAGTCTTTATTTCTTTAAACAAGCAATAAAGTAACTTTATGATGGATTAAATCGAAATACTTACTTTCATGCTCCCCTCCTTCCCAATAGCTGTTTAATTTTGCTCTTTTCGACAACTGTAGATGTCTGTATCACCGAGGACGATCATAAGTTACGGTTAAAAACGTTCGGGATAAGCGTTCACAGAATTAAGGTACCGCTTAAATCGAATTACAAAGTATCCAGTTTGCAATTGTTTGAAGAGAACAAAAAAAAGAACAGAACAAGGAAAACGAGAAGTAAGCAATCGTTTTGTCATGCTAATTCGCGATTACATCCGGAGAAACTTACGTTCGTTCCGATTACGCGAGACTGCATGATTAAAAGTCGCCGTGAGGGAATGGAATTGTTAGCGAATCGAGTAAAACATTCAATGTGCGTCCGAATCGCGTGGCGACCAGTTCGGATGCATTTTCTTGGCGTTCGGATAAAAGCTCGCTGCGCCATCTAGCCTCCCTGTGTGTCGATATGTACATATTCTCCGCTGTTCAACGTCCCCGTTGATCCTCGTTTCTCTCGCTCGCCGTTGGCAAACGTTTGCCTTTGTCACCGTTTGCGCCGCGGAGCCTGCGAAAAGGAGCGATTCGCGCGAACGACGTATGCAAATCCCGCCTAATAATTCCGCGGGAATATTTATGAAATCACGCGCGGATCTGCGCTCGATTCTTATTGCTAATTCTGTTCCGACCGCGTTCATTCTCGGTTGTGAGGCACAGGGGAAAAAGTAAGAATATTCTTCCGTTTCGAAATTTAACGACAAAGTAGTGCAATCGTTACAGACGGATGCCATTACGTGCATCGATAAAGCCGGCCACGCTGTTAAAACCAGAATTTGCGTTATTATACTTCATATTATACTGGGTGTCTCGTTAGTGAATTTTTTTTCAAACATTCGAATAATTAAATTATTCACGTAAGGCCTAATTTTTACATGCTATACGTTTCTGTTTCACTACTGCGAATATATGTATTATTAAGCATTACAAAAATATGTGTGTATTCACGAAAGATGAAACATGGATAAAAAAGTTTGGTTTTTCGACCGAATTTGCGAAGAACTTCCTGAAATATGGCACGACGAAGGAAGATCTTGCGTTTCCCCGCGAGTATCGACGTTTCCGAGGTCTGCGTCGAGCTACGTTTGCTTCGAGACACCCGGTGTGTTCGTTATTCGTTATCAGAGTTACGGAAGGTTCACGTGCGTCGGAGTATCGCGTTTAAACAGCCAGACGAGGCTTCGCGAACATTTTCGTCTGGCAAGCCCATGTCTTCTCATCAGTCCCGGCGATCGTTGCGCCGCATGGCGTGTTCCCGAACTAACGAATTGGACGGGATCGCTCCTCTTCGACGGCTCGTCGACACGCAAAGCACGAGTGACGTTTAAGCGTGACTTTAAACGTCAGGCTAAAAGCACAAAACAGGGTTGCAAAAATTGGCAAACAAACGGATCTAAGCTAGGGATTCGATAGTGACACAGAAAGATTGCAATTAGCTGGGTATGTGCAGGAAACGATTAAAGAAATTGAAAAAAAATACAGCAGAGTCCTCGACTTATGCGGCTTAAATACTAATTTAACTAGTTTCGATGGTATCTCGAAATCTATCTAACCAACTTGCACAACATTTGGTGTACATTTTCAATACACTCGTCGTTATAGCCTGTACCAGAATCAATTTAATATCTTGTTTCTTTCATGTCTTTTCGGTCATTGAAAAATCGATAATTAAACTTCAAAGTGTTACCATTCTTTTTAATTATCGACTTTTTCTTTCCATTTCAATGCCTGGTATGGATCAGGCTCATCCTAATTAAGAATCTTTTTTTCATTTCTAGTTTCAAATGTGTAAAATGACCGAAATCATGGACACCAAAATGAAGCTCTTTTTTCTAGGTTATGATTTTTTTACTTTTGTAAATAAAAACCTAAAAATACGCCATTTACGATAAACACCTTCCCGGCTGACACGAAAAATTTCAGAACGAATTAACCGCGTAAGTCGAGGTCTCGTGTACTCGAAAATCCCTCGGTGCCAAAGGTCTGTGCACAATATTGCTACGTCGATGCAAGAAGCACAGCGCTGCGCAAGAACAAGGCTTCATGCGCAAAGGGACAGAGGATGCACACGTTTATAACACGTAAAAATAAATGATTTACGAAAATGTTAACCAAGGTTTGTTTTTTCAAAGCTCAGACTTGTATTCCAGTTTAATAAAAGGAATTTGGCGATGGAATAAAAAAATTTCAGGATTTAGGAGGAAGATTAAGAAATTATTTTTCGTTCGATGGACCACGGTGGAATTGTATTGCCAGATGGTGCCGCATTTTTCGTGACACGTCGTGTATTACCCGTGAAAGATTCTCTCACAATATTCGATAACATCCGGCAGACAATTTGAGCAGCCACGTTCTACGGGGCCCGAGCTAGAACGTTTTCTGGGTCCTTTGTGTACCCAGAGTGCCTGACCTTTTTTTTTTCATTTTTTCGGTCGGAACACGGGGCCAGAGAGAAGGAGTGTAGCCCGGCCACGATCTCAACTCCGAAGAAACGATTAAGTGAACCGGAATATCCAGGCCCCGTTGCTTTGGGCCAGCCTCTCTCTGGTTTCGTGCAGCCTCTGGGCCCCTACAAGAAAAGAAAAAATCTCCGGCCGAGTAGCAATAAGCGGACGATTGTAGCGAATTTTCGACCTGGACAAGGATCCCTGCACGCTCGATCCTCGATCCTGAGCATTCTACACTCCTGGACGAACGGACAACAGTGTCTGCAACCTCCAGAGACCATAGTTATAAGCAAAATAAGACAGAAATTTCAGAATAACCATTATATATTTTCCGTTTAAATCCGTTAAATATTCTGTTGGTTCCCAATAACCCAGACCTAACCTAGACCATAGTTATAAGTAGTCTGCGGATCTCTATGCAAATTCATATTTTCATTAATAGTAAATATAATAATTCGTATCGTACTTTAAATATTTCTTATATTTTTGGATATTAAGTGCATTCTGTAGTTTTTTGGGAATTAAAATTTCCCTTAAATGCATAAACATCCGCAAGTCTAGTTATAAGCAAACTAAGACAGAAATTCGAGTATAACCACTATATACATATTTTCCGTTTAAACTCGTTAAATATTTTCTTGGTTCCTAATGACCATCATATTAGATTCTACAATGCTATATCCTGTTGCAAAGAAGATGATATTCTCTTCCTCGTATTTACCACTTCTTTATTTGTCTTTGTAAACAAAAAGTAATCCCTTCAGAGGCGACATCCGAGCGTAAAGGGTCAAAGTTCGCACGCGTTACAACGCAGACACGTAAGAACCATCTAATCTTCGTTGATCCTGCTAAAATCAGAAACTCGAACGGCGCAAGACGCGATCACGTATTCCATTTCCGGTGGACCAGCGGCGCGCGTGCTTTCGTTTCGTTCGTCAGACCATTGTCAGCGGTAGGGATCGGCTATCACGGGAGGATAATAACCAAGTCCCCGACTATCTTTCGTCGAAACGTTCTTATCGCAATGCGACATATGGCGTCGTTCACCTGGCGCCTAGACTCCGTTCAGCCGCGAGTCGCCAGCTCGCTTTCGATACGATTCCACCGACGATCGTGTTCGAAAATTTACATAAACGCACAGCTGACGGAGGACTCGTCGGTGCCTCGTTCCGCGCTGCGTTTCCGTCGACGGCAGACTTTTGACGAGCACGAAGGGAGCCCGGTCCCAACGGACCGCAGCTGCGACGTTAAAAAGGCCTCTAACTTCTCTAATAAAAAACAAATCGACTTTTTTGTTGTTGTTACAATTTCCTGGCGATTCCAAGTCTTGGGACGACTTTGGCTACTTTGGACCGAGAATATTTACCAATATAAATTAAAATTTGTGATGTGATTTTTAAAAATAAAAAAATACTCTTTCCACAAACATGTATATGTTCATATGTTTCTTTTATTTATATATTTTCTGAATTAAATTTGTGTCATCATAAATCTTCGATCGAGTTATGATACTCAAGTCAAGATTATGAGTTTGTAGTTTTGACTTCCTATTGGCTTGTGCTCCCTAGTCAGGGGAAGAGGGATTCGCGCGATATTCCCCGAGCCGCCCCAATAGTATTTTTTGCCGTATCACCGACACCGACATTTATTTCATCGGGAAAGATAACACGTTGCACGTGCACGAGGTGCACCATATGCCGCGCGTATACGCCGTGTCCATTGCGCTGTATATCATTAAGAGTGGCGAGGCAAGAAGCAAA